GACGCATGCTGAAAGATGGTATGATGGTGGTCAGTTTATTCAACAGACCTTTAGCTTCACTTTCGTCTTCAAAGATGAAGACGATGTTTGCGCATTCCACATCGATAAGGTTCTCACAAGTAACGATTTAATAGCTTGGGTTTTCCAGACCTTCGAGCTTTCCCCTCGTTAGTTCGTCGATGACGAAAATGAACAAGAACGGAATGTGTGGACATCGTTGTCGGAGACCACTTTTTGTAGTGAAGCTTTTGGAGCCCTCATTATACATTCTCACACACCCAGAAGTGTGTGAGATGATGTTCACAAACTTCTAAGTCATATCCTGTTGAGTAGGTGTGGTTAAAAGCACTAGTTGATCGACGGGACCGAACGCACCATTGAAGTCAAGGAACATCGAGATTGTCGCTCGTCCGTATGCGTGGTATTTCTCTAAAAGCTGACGGAAGGTGCGGTCTACGCAGCCTGTACCGGTCGAAATCCCACTTGATCCTCATGGGTCAAGGATTCACGTGCCGCCATAAGACGGCGAAGACTCATTGACACCAGAAGCCTTGTTACAACGGGGTCAAGCTGACACCTATGTGGTTACCATATCTACTGTGAGTACCCTTTTTGAAAATGGGCACTATTGTCGACTCATCCCAGTTATCTGGAACGGTTTCTTTCCCCCAGATAGACCCATGTTGTCTAAACAGGCATTGACTGAGGAACACACCGCCATCCTTGAATAATGCCATGGAGGGTTGTCAGGATAAAGAGCGCGATGACGCTTCAGTTGATATACACAATCGGACACTTCTGGGTCTGAAAGAGGTTCACGACCTGCAAAGTGTAAAGTGGTACTGCAAGACCGGGTGGGCTCGAACCGTAGCCTCATGCGGATGAACCAATAGAGGTAGTCGATAAATCTGTTTACCTGGGCAGCTGTATCAGTCCTGGTGGTCTGGCGAAAAATGATATTTTCATCCGGATTGGGAGAGCAGCTTTTGTGAACCTGCGTCACCTGTGGTGTTAAGTGCCAAAATCTAGAATTGATGGGTTGGAGGGGTTCCAAATTAAAAATGATATATCCGGATTGGGAGAGCAGCTTTTGTGAACCTGCGTCACCTGTGGTGTTAAGTGCCAAAATCTAGAATTGATGGGTTGGATGGAGGCCAAATTAGTTCCGATCGCTTTTCGTTCCTTAATCTTCCAATTCAAGGTGCTTCACTTGATGATTCACCTCGGGTGCCGCTGTTAGATTTTCCCTGGTCTTTGTGGGGTTGTGAGTGCTCCGACAATTTAGTTTGAGGGGGGTTGAGGTCAAGCGAATTTCGGATGATAACCGCACACCAGCACGTGTCAGCTCGAGCGACCCAAGACCGTTCTCCACACGCTAGCCAGTTCCACGCCTCCCATTCTGTTAACGTTGGGGTGCTTGGCGATTTCTACCGCCTCAGCGATCAGCCTGTGTGATGTGGACCGTAGTCCTCACCTCAAAACCTCAACATTTTCTAAAGCTATTTTGTGTCCCGTGTCGAGTGCGTGTTCCGCAATCGCCGAGTCTTTCATTAACGCTTGATATGCATCTGCGTTTCTCGGCGGCCTGTTTATTTTTCTACCATGCTCTCCGAATCTGATGTGTAGTTCCCTGGCCGTCTGTCCTATATAGACCTTGGTGCGGTCATTACACTTAATTTTTTGGACACAGTCCCTGGTTCTGTTTACCGAGAGGCAATCCTTCAATTGCACCAGTGCAGAGTGTTCCTCCTCTGGAAGGCTACTCTTATATTAGCCGTGTTTAGCATTCCTCGAATTACCTCCGATGTCCCTGGTTTATATGGAATAACAGCTGTCCCGATCAATTCCTTGTTGGGTTTCGATACCGGTACCAACACTTTTCGCATTTGACGCCTAATCAAACTAGCTGGATATCCACTACCCCGAAGTTTGTTCTCTACCTCAATTTGGGCCGCTGTCCGATCAGCTTCTCCTGTGCACAGGGCTCTTACACGCCTAAACATTGATGAGGCAATACTGGCGAACACCGACTTCGGATGGGCAGATGGGTAGTTCGAAATTGCCCCAGTGTCGGTTGGCTTCTCATACACCGTGGTCTTTAGTCTCCCCCCAACCGTATGTGTCATGCAGTCTAAGAAGGCCAGTGGGCACCACGCTACCAGGCAATTTCCGCTGTTTCAGAAATTGGTACTGCAAAGGAACAGTTTGTGATCGACACACATCTAAAGTAGATTCGCCGTTGCCTATGCGTCTCGTATACGAACCAAGACGACCAGCCTCAGCAGCGCTTAATCCATGTACTTCGGTGTTCATGTCACCACCAACCACAACGATGTCTGAGCTTTTAGCCCGTTGTACCTAGAGCGCCATTGAAACTGTCTTTGGCAGATTCAGAACTACAGTCCGTTGGGGAGTAAGCAGACACAATCAACAGGGTACGATAGACCTCACTTCATCGAACTTCTCTCACGGACGTTGCTAAACTAATCGCGCAGAGGCGGCCATCACTGGTATCCAATCAACTAGAGACGCTTCTGTTCGGTCGCTCAATACATTACTCACGCCGGCATATCCAGCTTCAGTGGCTTCTGCATTACCAGAGGTGCGCAGCAGGAACCCGGAAGACAGCCAGGGAGCACTCATTTCAATTACAGCACTTGCGTCCCGTGTGCTCTTGTTTCTGACAGAGATCATACGTCGATGCAGAGGGAGTCCAGCGTACGTGCAAGAGCTCATTGTTATCCTACTTTCTTCAGTAGACAAACATTAAAGGCATCTAAGTAAGCTGATTTTCTGTGGGTTTTAAAACAGACGTCGACATGTTTAAGGCTTGTCCTGAAGTCGGACACAAAACCTGTAGCTGAGCGTGATGCACGGCGAAGAAAGAGGTCAGTCCTAGCACTGACCTGTGGAGAGAGTTTTTATATTTGGGTAGAAGGGTAGGGTAGGGGGGGGGGTAGAAAGGGGAATACATGAAAGTGTACGAAGAGAGGCGTAGGCGGTAGCATGTTATCGCTTGCCTGCCCTACTGTACGCAGCAAGTAAGGCGACCCGGTTGGCGACACTACGTGACAGCCGATGTGGCATGATAGTGTTGTTAGTTGCAAGTATCACTGTCGTACATGGACTAGGATACTTCCAGGGCGCTCAGACCTAGACAGGAGGACGATTGGGGTCGTCGACCAAAGTCCTTGTTTCCGGGACCTGACAACAAAGCAGCGTTTTTCAGCTGAAAATGCAGTTTCATCGGCATTTTTGCAGATGAAGGTGCCATGCATGTTCCAGCGCAACCAGTATACGACAAGTCCGCGGTGCTCACAGCTGACAATGATGATCTGCCTTTCTGTTCAGGGCCGGAAGTCCGGGTTGGAGGTATCAAGTGTCCAACTGAATGGTTGTTCGAAATACTGTGCCAAACAGTCCGAAAGTGGTCGTTTTTGGGATACCATTCTAGTCCCTAGTAAGAGGCTTCTGTGGACAGGTCAGACGAACCAATCGCAACAGTTGGCGGATGTTTCCAGCATTCTTACCTTTTCCATTTTTTCAACCTTTCTGGTTCACCAAGCTTCTCGGTCGGCACCGACACTCAGTTTTGAGTTGCACTTTATATAGCTGTCCTCAGTGGTCATTGATATCCAATATAGGACCACCAGGAAGTTTTTGTGTAGCATGTTCTGATAGGTTCTTTTGATTTCCGGAATCCACAAGGTTCACGGTGGATGAGCGAGGTGTACCTGTTTAGCGTTGGCCTGAAAAGCAGCAACGCACTTGTGCATTGTCGGAGTTCACACCGGTATTTCAGAAGGAGTGGCAGGTAGTTGTCGACCCTCGCCACCGGTAACTGATGGCGAAGTTGTCTAGTTGTATTCAGGACTAGTTCGTTGGTGGGCACCACGCTACCAGGCAATTTCCGCTGTTTCAGAAATTGGTACTGCAAAGGAACAGTTTGTGATCGACACACATCTAAAGTAGATTCGCCGTTGCCTATGCGTCTCGTATACGAACCAAGACGACCAGCCTCAGCAGCGCTTAATCCATGTACTTCGGTGTTCATGTCACCACCAACCACAACGATGTCTGAGCTTTTAGCCCGTTGTACCTAGAGCGCCATTGAAACTGTCTTTGGCAGATTCAGAACTACAGTCCGTTGGGGAGTAAGCAGACACAATCAACAGGGTACGATAGACCTCACTTCATCGAACTTCTCTCACGGACGTTGCTAAACTAATCGCGCAGAGGCGGCCATCACTGGTATCCAATCAACTAGAGACGCTTCTGTTCGGTCGCTCAATACATTACTCACGCCGGCATATCCAGCTTCAGTGGCTTCTACATTACCAGAGGTGCGCAGCAGGAACCCGGAAGACAGCCAGGGAGCACTCATTTCAGCTACAGCACTTGCGTCCCGTGTACTCTTGCTTCTGACAGAGCAAAGTCACCCTCCCAATTATAACTGCTCTACTCCAGTCCCATGGAGTCTTGCTTCCGAATGATGCCTTTTGAGAAGCCACTTCCCGATTTCCAACAAAAACTATAGGTATCCCCAAGGAGCAATTTCCTCTTCCTACAAAGGTGTTGCAAAATTCACGTTTCCGGTTTTTCTACATTGTGACGCCATATAGGCACATGACTATTCACAGTAGGCACAAGCTTGCTTCCAACGTAGACATCATTTTCGAAACGATCTAGCTTAGTGTCAATTTTGTCAGTCCTTCAATTGTCAGTAAACAGACTACTGAGATCATTGCGATCTGCATACTTTTCATGTCTGTGTGATTGATTTCCATCTCTTGACCTTTTTCGTGCTCACTACTTTGGATATTCATTTTCCTAGTTAGGGTAGACGGCATTTTAGCTGACGTTTTCGGTTATAACATTATCAGTTGGACATAGTGTTAAGTCAGTAGACCACTGAACATCGGTCATTTTGATATGTTCACTTCATATGTCTCACCGTTAAGCCCACTTATCGAGCAAATAATGCCATCTGTTACCTTCAGTCGAATGGCCATAAATCGTACCACTTCTGAGGAGTGCAAGGCTCGGGACCGAGCTCATCTGGAGACGTATCAGGAGTTCAGAGAAGGCGCTGAAGTTCATAGACAAACGCGTGCGCACATCAAGAAGTGGCTCCGTCCGGGAGTCACCATGATTGAGCTTTGTGAGGAGTTGGAACGTACTAGTCGTGCGCTCATCAAGGAACGTGGCTTGCAGGCTGGCTTGGCATTCCCTACCGGTTGTTCTCTAAATCATGTTGCTGCGCATTATACGCCAAACGCTGGGGACACAACGGTTCTTAGCTACGATGATGTCTGCAAAGTTGATTTTGGTGTTCATGTCAATGGTATGGTGGTCTGTTGTTCACGCGTTTTACATCTTTGAGTGAATTCATTCTCCATACCCGTGCATGCCAAACTCTTTATGACCATTTGTTCAGATCGATGCCAATTTATGAAAAACTTGAAAAAAAGTCTGAATTACGAGTGCACGTAACATGGACCAGAAGACGCCTCGGAAGGAGCGTCTTTCTTACCCCTATCAATACTGCGTGTATTTAGGCTTCATGTTTTTACGGTTAACAGGGCCCCCTTCAACTAAACCTCTGCCATCTTGTCCATGTGAACGTGTGGGCTGCTGCGCATGGAGCTCACTAATGGGGTTGGTAGATGTTAACGTCTAATCCATTGAGCGGAATCGTAGCCGTGTAAAGTTTAGGTGCACAAGCGTTCTCGGTGCTTAACAGAGCATCTGTTAAGTAAGCCGGAGATATATGGCTTGTGTAGGCGTGTGTCTTCGTCCATTTTACTCGTAACTTGACTTTGCATTTTCATGATTTACCAACTCTTTCAAACAAAACCACTGCGACTCGATGCGGGAAAACCAATAGCTTGGCCATCAGGCTTTGATTGTTCACGGATAATACAGCCCAGTGTGATATGCAGGATCTCTTCCCTTGTTATATCTCTTTTGGGCATTGTATTCATCAAAGTGCTGGCTGCGTTAGTTTCAAGCTGCTATTCACACTAGTGCTACCTGTTCGGGTTGTCGTTAGCCGGCAGCATTCCAAGAATCGTCATCACACATCGCAATACCATTGCCGGTTGTAGGTGCTAACGTATTTCTAAGAACAGGGTTTCTGGGGAATTCAGCCATCGTTTTCACTCTTTTACCATATTGAACACATAGGTGTTCTGTGACTCATTTCTATATTAAGTTGCTGGCGGATCTCAGTCAATCTGACCACAATGCTTACGGGGAACACTGCTGGGATATCTTGAACATCAGCCCAGCTGAATCGTGAGGCTATCTTGGCACTGCACATTCAGTTGAAGGACACTAAACGGGAGGTTCACTCAAAGCTTGTCCTGATCCCTCATTTACATTAACTTACTGTGGAAAGCACTGGTGCAAAGAAACCCTTTTTGTGGAATGGACAAAAAGAGGAGTGACCTCATTCTGAAAGTTGAGTGTCACTAAGTTTATCCAGGTCTTTCGTCCTCCTGTTTTGTTTATTTTGTCAGCGGTAGTAGAAAATCAAACCCTGTAGGAGCATACTCACAATGTCCGGATACTATTTTTCGAGTGCCTTCTCAGTTCCAATTTTAGTAGTTGATCAGGTACCTGTTGATCTGTTCGCCGAGCTTGGCGGTTGAAGTAGCGCACACACTAAAGATGCCTCCTTGGGGGGCATCTGCAAGTCAGTTTTCAGGGTCGGTGAACAGACCAGCAGCCACCTGATCCATTACCAACGAATGCGTCCGATCTACCAAAATAGCACATTACCAGTTTCAATACATAGTGTTATAATCCTGATCCTTTCTCCCACCTTGTTTTTGTAGCCTGCTAGTTAGATACTTGACTTCTTCCTTGGTCTTCTCTTGTGGTGATCTATACAGGTATACCTACTTTTTATTCATCAGGCAGAATAATTGACTGTGCGTTCACTGTACATTTCAATCCAAAGTACGACAAACTGGTGGAAGCGGTGAAAGATGCCACTAATACCGGGATAAAGGTGAGCCTGACCCCCCACTAGAAATCCATTTCGCCGTCTTACAAGTGTTTTCTTTTCAGTAGATGTTTAGACCATATTTTCGTCATTGGTCGACTAGAATGCGACCACACCGGTGTTGACGTACAACTTCCGGTTAGGTTGAGACTGTAAGCCATCAGAAATTGAGCGACAACCGAAGCAGTCACCCGAGCTACCAGGGTTCAAATACATGGTTAAACTGAAAAGACCTTTTCCAGGATGGACGGATATAATTTCTATTGGGTTCAGGTGGTACGGCAGTGAAGCATCAGTGTCAGCACTGATGTTGCTATCGTCAGTGATGATGGTGAGGTCTGGGTGGTTTGCTGCAGATTCTTACCTATGTGTTTTCATGCTAAATAATTGGTTGAGACATTCATAACCCAGCTGTTTGAGAGAGCCAGATGTTTAATGTTTCTGGCACAAGCGTGGCCTGCTTAGATACGGTTTGTTTGACATTTTCTCAGCACTAGGGGCTAGTTTTTTTGCTATTGCAACCCCTGAAATAACGACCTTGTTAGGAGGGCGTGGTCCACACATCTACAGCTTTGTTGGACTAATTAAACCGCAGTTGTTACCGGTGGTGATGAAAGTGGGCTGTGTTGGAGATCAAGTCACCAAGTTTGTTGGCAGACTCTCCTTGGGCATGACTAAGTCGTACGCGAGTTCCGCTAGTGAACGCCCAACTGATGCCCACCATTCTTATTTCCGAGGCAGGATACCGCGTCCTAACCTTGAGTGTGTGAAGTTCCAACTTTATTTACGTGTTTTCTTGCTGTTTCTTCTTCCCGTTCATCAATGGACGAAGCGGATCGAACATTTTGAAATCGGAAACGGAGTAGCATTGATTCAGATGATTTGACCCGCAACTAGATCTGTGCAGTACAGTTGTTACCGGTGGTGATGAAAGTGGGCTGTGTTGGAGATCAAGTCACCAAGTTTGTTGGCAGACTCTCCTTGGGCATGACTAAGTCGTACGCGAGTTCCGCTAGTGAACGCCCAACTGATGCCCACCATTCTTATTTCCGAGGCAGGATACCGCGTCCTAACCTTGAGTGTGTGAAGTTCCAACTTTATTTACGTGTTTTCTTGCTGTTTCTTCTTCCCGTTCATCAATGGACGAAGCGGATCGAACATTTTGAAATCGGAAACGGAGTAGCATTGATTCAGATGATTTGACCCGCAACTAGATCTGTGCAGTACTTAGTCTCGTCAGCCACAAATCACAGTCACGCCTCATTGTGGTCTTAGCTGTCGCTAATATGTTCGATAAGGTTTGCGGGAGGGATACTTGAGTGTGTAAATCCATTACCCATGTCACCTTGTTTTGCACGAAGAGACTTTTACATTCGCAAGCTTTGTCAGACCATGCTTGAGGCAAATATCCTACTTCCTCTGCTTGTTCCCATGACGCTCTGCACCTAGCAACAGCAACCGCAGGGCGTATAGCGTTTATCCATTGACTCAGCTTTAGTTGACCACTAATTTCATCTTTACAGGCAGCCGGTATTGATGTCCGTTTATGTGATGTTGGCGCGGCCATTCAGGAAACCATGGAATCGTATGAGGTAGAGTTGAATGGGAACACATATCAAGGTAAGGAACTGTGTACTGCTGACCGCAGTGGTGTTATTTCCTGATCATTTCGAAAACAACCCAACCAGCGGATTTTTTCTTTCATCATCATTTGTGTGTGATTCCTGAACTCTCGATTTTGTGTTTTTGACACCAAAGCTTTGGAAGCGTTGGTGAGAGCTGAGCCGTAAGGTTAGGACAAGCATTCATAACACGAAAAATGAAGCTAAGTGGAACTTCGAGCAATTATTACCTATCGGTCTGTGATCGGAGGCAGTGGGTAAAGGTGAAGATAAAAGAAACGGAATGGTTTGATCGATTTATAGAAGGAGAGGGGTGCCGCTCATTATGACAACAAGGCGTAACTGATTGGAAGCGGTGCAAAAGTGAGGGCATTTAAGAGGAATCTGAAGAACTATAGTTGCAGCTGTATAGGAGTCATGTAGACCACCTCTCAGATACACAAAGTTGTCAGTCGTGTGGCGTGCACACTGTCGAAGTATCGCGAGGTATTGTTTCTCCGAAAATGGGTGGGAGGGAAAAGAGGGGAAACCTCATGAGCCAAAGCCGATGAGAAACAGACCGATATGATAATCGTCATACAGTACGGGCAATGTCGGATTATCAGGGAAGAGAGTGGCTCTGTTCAATGTTCCGTACAATAAACCAAGATGAGTAGTACTCAGATGCTGGGTTAGTGTGGCCTCTGAGAAGTGGCAAACCCTATATCCTTAGATTGACTCTCTAGCTTGCTCCCGCAGTGTTGTTTCGCAGTTCGAATGCTTGAAGCTGGTTTCGAAACCAGCAGTACTAGTCACTACTGTTATGTTGGTTTCGCTGATGTTGATTAGGGTTTATTATCACTAACAGATGTCCCTAAATCTGAGCACTTGCTTTGAGCGTGTACCTACCCCTCACCAATTATTCCCATCCATGAACCTGTCGTGCATCCGGAACCTTGGGCCATTGCCTTACAAGGTCCTATGCGCCAGTTACTGGAGTTTTTGAAGGTGAAAACTCGGTACTAGCCCTATTTATCCCATTTTGTCGATGACATTGATTGATAGGTTGGGCTGTTTCCGTGATGCGCGACAGCAATCGCTTGGTACCGGTGGATTAACAGCCCACTACTAATAGTGAGAAACTTACTGGTGTAGCACTGTCATATGTCCTCCAATAACACATCGAGTTTATTTGATTCGTATAATTTTTATTCCGTCATTTCTTGCTAATTTCATTTGCATACTATCACACCTTATCTTACACACTGCGTGGAACATTCACGTGCATACTTCACTGTCAAACAACTGAAGTGAACTGTTCTGGAACGTCGAATTTAGTTGCTGGAACTAGCGTGGGTTTTTCCTGAACTAACCTAGTGGAAATGTTGGTGGTATTTTGGGATCTTCATGTACCTAATCACTGGAATTGCAAACCCTTAGACCGGGAGCATCACCTGGTGTCCCACACTACCGCAATTACAGATTGAGGTAACCCCCAATAATAACAATAGTAATAATAAGATTTAATATACAATAGTATTTTGAACTTTATTGTAGTTTACATCCAAAAATCGAACCTCTGCATGATTTGTTAGCCTTGTGCTTATTTTTCTAACTTTCCATCTTTATAGTCAAACCAATCCGTAATTTGAACGGACATTCGTTGGGACCATATCAAATCCATGCGGGCAAAACAGTTCCTATTGTACGAGGTGGTGAGCAAACACGAATGGAGGTAAGTTTGTAGTTTAGCGACCGTTCCGTTCTGTCTGTGGAATGGCTGAAAATTATCCGTTTGTAACTGGAAAAAGTCGTCTTGTGAACAGAGTTGCTTTTTCTCTCATCGTTCTCATGTTTAGGCGAGAAAATTGCTACTAACCCAAGGACGGTCTCCACTGCCACAACTGACACAATGCGCTTTGCAGAAAACAGGAGAAAAAAAAACTGCGGTTCCCAAGCAGGTGAACCTATCGATAGTCTCGTGCAGGTTTCCTGGTCTGTAAAGTTAGAATATTCCCAATCCAGTCTCATAGCATGAATTTGCAATTTTCAAGTATAAAGTGCGTTCCTTAAAGGCCTGTCTTTGTTCCTAAAAACTCCAACATTGCTCGCAATTGGGAGAATACTGAACCTAGGAGGACTATATTATCGGCGTTCTGTGTTGCTATGTCACCCTGGAAAAACTCTGATCCCACACCTGATCTTAAAGTGCTCCTTCCACCGTACAGTCACTCACTAGTTTGGAAACGTATTGAGGTAACTGACAGCCTTTTTTTTTACCGTTTTCTCCTCGAGCTCAACTAGGTGAGCGAGTCACCAGTTCCTAATGTACTGTATCATGGGGGATGACCATCGTGATTTCCACTTGACTGGTTTCACGGGTATGTAAGAGTATTGAATTCCGGGGCATTCACTTCAGGCAAGATGGAAAACCTGTACCTTATGCCATGAAAGAGGTTAGGAAACAGCCTGATTTAGACTCCACTCCGGTTCATCAATACACAAAACTTGCGTTACGGTTCTCACTGGTCACCTTTCCCTAAGAGAAATCCCGTCAGTGAGACACTTCGGAGTCTTATTAAGGTGTTTCGTCGAGGAAAAAAGCCGTATTTGAATCTCTATCATCTTGGATTGTTGGTGCTCTGGGGAGATTCAGGAACCGACGATCTAGGTAGCTCAGAATAATTCACACGACTGATGAAACTTCCGCTAAGAAGTCGTCTTTCGAGGAACCGGTCAATCAATCCTTCGGTGGTTGAACGATGAGTGGCGCTGTATCCTATCTAAGCGCGAGTCCATCACTGATCAGCGGGCCGTGGTTGAACACTTGGGTGTTCAGCTACGTCTCAGGTTCGAATCCACCGGAGTTTCGTGAGTTGCACATTGCTGATGATTCCAAATATGGATGAAACAATTGTGCACAATGATTGAAATTTTTGACATAGGCTGGTTTCAGTTACGGAAAAAGATCCCACATATAATCTCGGAGTCATTCCTCAATTTTTGAGTATTCGGTGCCTTCATCAAAGGTGTTCTATTCTATTAACCTAGTAATAGTGCGCGTATTATATACTATAACGTATGGTGTTATTAGTGATCTAGTCAGTGTTAATAATGATCGGTCAGCTATGCCACCCCTTCGGTACATAGCTGTCGTGTGACCAGAAGGAATTACGAGGGCGGAGATGTCGGCAGGTTGCTTAAGTGATCGAGAACCACGGACCTTCCGGCAGGTACGCGCCCCAACCACTTAACCATCTGGAGCTAGGATCGCTAATCTGTTTCATTGTTAATTGAATGGCCGAAATGCTTACACGGTATGCATATTTCAGATCTTCGTAATGCGTTGTACAACTTAAGGACGGAATGAGAATTTCTATGCTCAAGCTGTTTCACTCTCCAGCCCCGCATCATGAGGGTTTGGTATGTCAGTTTTGAATACTCCGAAAGGCATTCGACCACTAACTTGGTACTCAATTGCCTGTACCTCACTCGAACACATACCTGTTTCTTATCTTCGGTTCTCGTTTAACAGTGGATTTCTCTTCTACTTCTAGGAAAACGAATACTATGCTATCGAGACCTTTGGCAGTACGGGACGGGGATACGTGAACGATGGAGAGGAAGTCTCTCATTATATGAAGAATTTCCACGCTGGGCACGTCCCTTTAAGGTGACTATTCGTTTATAATGGTCGATATCATTTGTCTTCCGCTATTTGCTGTCTGGACCTTGACGTGGAACCTTGAGAGCACGTTTTTTCTCGTCCTGCCCCTCAGTATTATGATACCTAAGTAAATAACGTTCCTAAGTTGAACTGCCAGGTTGCCGCTCTTACAATACCCGCACGCAATTCAGGGCGAATGAGGCCGGATTAATCAGGCCTTGCATAAATCATCTAGTTTGATTGCATTTTGGTGGAGTAACATAACGCTAGTATGCCTACATTTATTGCTCACCGTTTAGGTAACCTTCAGGAGTGGATTAATCAGAATATCGAGCAATAAACCTCGGGATGTTAACTTTTTAAAACGATTCGATAGAAGAGATTCAACTGCTTCAATCTATTTCCAATAATCAAGAATTCTTCTGCACAGTTCGATGTGCACTTCGCACCTGCAGAGTGTAAAGTGCTACTGCAAGATTAGATAGGGGGAACCGACCGACGTGGTGGGAAAATTCACCTACCTTGGTAGCTGCATAAATCCCGGCGGACTGACCGGAGGTGAACTCATTTCCCGAATTTCAGCGTTTGCTAAAATTTGGCATTTATGGCGCACACATGGCATCAGCTTAACTGTCAGGGGTAGAGTGTACACTTCCGTCGTCCGATTCCTCCTAATTTATTAATCAGAGATGTGGCCGCTATGTGCGGAAGATCTTCGGAGACTCTGTTTTGGATCATTGGTGCCTCCGAAACATTGCGCTGGTCTGGTGAGAACATCAGGTCATTAACGCTGAGGTAAGCCAGATGGATTTCGGGAAAGTCCACTCTCCCTCGATAGATCAGCTGTTCACACTCCACAGGTTACGCTGGTTGGGCCGTACACTTCGTATGTCAGAGGACCGTTTGCGTCACAGAGCCCTCCTCACCCATTCTGGTACAGGATGGAGACAATCCAGTGCCGGCCAATTCATAACTGGGTAAATGAGCATGAAAGCCTTCGCGTTGATAATTGCCGTCTTTCTGGGTGGGGACTTCGGGACGAGCCAAACCAATGGTTGGTGACCCTGACAAATATGGCTGTGTCATGCAGCCAATGGTGGTCTTGCATCAAAGCTATCACCTTCACTAGATAGCCTTCACTTCCTGTCACACTGGACAAACAGTTTTATTTGCCGTCAAAGCACAGGTTGAGCTACCGCCTACAACGCGTGACCCTCATTCCCTTATTCCCTTTATCATTCGCGAACGAAGCTCTAGCAGCTGAAACCACTACTTTTCGGTGAGCGGAAAAACTGAACAAAACCTCTGCTGACTCATAATGGGCAAAAGTTTAACTGATATCCCCTTCAGTCAACTACTAGCTGGCACCATAGAGGGAAACGCCCCCGAAGACCAGTGTGGATTTCGAGGTTGTTGAAGTAAGACTGGCACTCCGTACCGTATGACAAATAGGAGAACGTTGGAACGGAAGCAACCATTCGATGGATTGGTTGTGAAATTCAGCGGCACTTCGATATAGTCGACATAGAGGCACTATGGATCATCCCATAACAGCTTGGTTGTCCGGGCAGATTTGGAGACCTCATCAAAACCTTCCATACTAAGGTAAAAGCCCGGGTTGTGGCGCTCTTCCGAGCTTCGATTTGGTAGAGGATTGAATTAGTGTTTCGTCCTTACTTCAGCTTTGTTCGACTCATATTTGACAGCCTTCTGTGCTGGGAATTTTCGCCATTGCAAGAATTTAAATGGAGATAATTCTAAAAATCCTATTTTTTTTCTATCAGCGTAAGAGATTCAACACAGAACGCAGCATTCGACTGAATGGTGTGGATGGCGTGTTGTACCTGTGTCTGCTACCTTGGTAGTACAGCATCTCCCTACCCAACGCTTGATAACTAACGACACCACAGCCTGTGACCGTTTTTGTGCCTTAATATCGAGAGTATTGTATCTGATTGTTGTGCTGCCTTTACTTCTATACAGCAACGAAACCTGGGCAGGTGACATTTTCGAGAAATGTTCACGCAAAATTATCCGGGTCGAGTGTACAGACAGATCTCTTCGAAAAGCAAATTGTAGTAGAAGCGAGTGCAACCTGACGCAAAATCAGCTCGGCTGTTTAGGCCATATGCGACGAACGACGGACACCCGCATCCTCGAACAGCCTATTTACAGTCAGCTAAGGAGTTGAGCTCTAACTCGGGATACAAGAACTTGGAGACACGTGTTCTGCTACCGCACAACAAGCGGACCACTGGGAAGATGGGTAGTGTTACCAGTACGGCCAGGACCATATGGACAAACGCAAGATGTAGTGGCGTACGCCTCAGTAGGATTAGGCTAGGATTGGCCTAGCTGCCAATCGTAAGCTTTTGGAACAGATGCATTCGCTTCATTACCTTATCAGAACTTGTCTGAAATGCTGTTATTCTGCGGGCGACAGTACCATTGGCGCTCTGGTCAATGGGAAACAACAAGTTACCCACTACCACCCTCACGATTTGCTAATGGCCGACCGTCGGGAACATCGGCATCGCGCTTCAAGGAGGGAGGTACGGTAATACACATGAATGGCGTCGACACTTAGATGGCAAACAAGTAGTTGGGAGTGGCATTTATTTTTATGCCATCATGTTTGGACTGACTGATGATGTGAAGCAAGCCTCTACGCGTTGTTTTCTCTTCTGGTCTACATCGGTGTCCGGGGCTTTCCCACAACACCACCTTCGATTATGCTCAAATCATCCATGGTTGTCCAGCTATGCGCGAGCGCTCAGCGGTCTGACCGCTGTTAACTTGCAAATCCGTTTGGGTCGCGGTTCCATGCGACTTGGACGTCTACTTTACATGAACGGCTTCATCTAATTTTTCCACTGAGGACTGGAGTAAGAAGTTTCATTCAGAGTAATGCCACTGACTTCTCGACTGTGAAGAGCTAAGTAACGTCAGATACCGGCCAAAATAGCTGCAAGTAAACGTTGCTTCATTCAGCTTCCGGTACTACTTCCTTACAGCAGTCTTTCTTGACGCGAAACCTTTACCACAGATATCCTGAGTAGAAAATGAGGAGCTTTCTGATAAGCATTTGGGTAGCTCGCTTGCATCTTGCAAACAGCCCTTGCCGAATCGTTCATATAAGACATGCTCTTTGTTCCAGACTGTCTGTATCCCTAGACTCTCCAGAGAGCCAATATAGATCCAGAAACTTCACTGATGTGTTGTGCTCGCTAAATCTCATATCATTTTCACGATGTACAGCACTGTCAAATTCGTCAAAAATTCTGAAGCCTTGTGTTTTTGAGAACCATTCACCCGTTGATTGCCACTAATAGCTTACACTTCACCCTCAATTATTCTTACCGTTTTCTGTTTCGCACTCAGTGTGTTGTTCATGCGATTTAGTTGGCCTCGTAGACCGACTTTTGGGAGTTTCTTGCGTTTATCTGTTTTGCTTTTATTCTGTTATCAGGATATCCCGGTCCAAGCAGTTACTCAGCGTGATCGACCGCAACTTTGGCACGTTAGCCTTTTGTCGTCGCTGGTTGGATCGACTAGGTGAAACAAAGTATCTTATGGCTCTGAAAAACCTATGTGATGTGGGAGTCGTTGATCCCTACCCTCCTCTTTGTGATCAGCGAGGATCGTACACAGCTCAGTGGGAACACACTATCCTACTTCGACCAACGTGCAAAGAAGTTGTTAGTCGAGGTCCAGACTACTAGGCCCTCCTGACCTCACTCTTTTGTCGTTCATGTCTAGATCACACTGCGAAGTTTGCTGTGTCTGTTTCCTCCAGAAAACGACTGTTACTTGGCCCCATTCCGACAAACGGGGTTAACTGTGTTGCCCCTCCCATCTCCCGCTTACGTACATTAACCACACTCGCTTTTTCAACTTGTAAATGCTCAGAAAATGAATTTGGGTGAATTACAGGCTTTCATTTATATGGAGGGACATACTGTGATAATGTGCATGAAATTCAGAAAGGAAAAGGATGGAAGCTGGTCAGTACAGGCCATGGACAACTAGGCCTGTGCAAACTGCAATTTAATTCTCGTTTCACTCACTAGTTTCTACCAGTATCCATCGGAGGGAAGGTAAGAATTTGTGAACCGAGAGGCTCATCATTTTTCTTGCCATTGCGGTGCGAACCCACGAATTCGACGAAGTAGGGCTGTGCGAAGGCAATCATTCATAAACTGAGATGGTGTTAACGTGAGACTCAAATGAATCTCTCGTGTTTTCAACCCTATAAAGAGTATCGTATCAGGTGAAAGCCGCATTGGCTTTTTACTCGTGTGTAACATAGGCTAATACACATGGCTGAGAAAACAAGAAAACTGGGGACTCACTGTTCCTGTATAGGAAGAACCACTACTCTTCCCCTGCATCTACTGGCTCTACGGGGGTTCGAGAAGCGGATTCAATGATCTACATGTTTACGATTGACCCTGGAATCATCAATTATGTGTACGCATCCCTTCAGCTGATGAATGTTTGGTTACCCATTTTTTTCAGTCGAAGCTAGAGGGTCTGGACAACTGAGCAAGGTGTAGTTGTGGAACCTGTTCGTCCGATTTTCCGAGCTTTAGTTCAGTCTTTACTTCTGCTCTGACGGAAGTACTGTTGACATCGGTCGACACATTACTGCGCGACGACATACAAGCTATCTCAACCTGGACGATTATTTCTGGAAGAAGACTCGCGCACGATTGGTTGCGTTGGTCGTTCGCTGGAGGCGACGGTGGTTTGATGACCTACTTCGCCCTTTGGATCCGTAGATGCTCTTCTGCTTGACCATGCGCTGCTGGATCAATAAACAACAGGCAGAATGACTTTATCGTGTGGTAAAATCAGCTGTAACCTTAGCAATGGGCTCATTCCATCCTATCAGCAAGTCTATACATTAAGTAGTCACCGTTGAATAAGCGTAAAGCTAGGACTTAAATAGACGGTTTATTGCCGAATTTAGGAGGATGCTGTGCGAGTTACTCCATCTCCACTAGTGAATCCAAAAGTGGTGAGTTTGCCCTCCTTCAATAGCTGGTCTATAAGAGTCGCAGCACTGATCGAACTCTAACTTCAGTGCAGATGAGTGTATTTCGCGAGTTTAGTGCATTTTGGGTCCAAGTAAAACATGAGCCACAAGAGGGGCTGTCGAAGAGTCTTTAGCAAACTTTCGAGTAGTTTTATTCGAGAAAGTATACTGTAAAATCTAGATTACCGTGCTAACTAAAACATAAGGCGACCTTTGTGCAGAACATTTACCTAAACGAGAGTTTCGGCTGGGATTCAGCTGAGGTTCCCTTCAAAAAAAATTGGTGCGCAAATGAATGTGGTTCGCGGAAATTTCATTTTACAAATGGATTATTGGTTTAAAGGAATATAAGAACCCCATCAAAGCTCTAGCTTCAGCGATTTCGTTATGTTTTGGAGCTTATTTGGCCAAATTACGGTTGAGGTCCATGATTAAGTACCCAAGCCTCCGGGGACTACGCCCACTCGATGAGTCCCAAACAGGGCAAAGCCAGCAAAACAATTCCGCACTACTTAATTCGGGAAGGAGTCTCCATTGAGAACCACTCAACGGACCGAATTAGGTGCTGGTTGTTGAATGCTCAGGCCCAATGAAAGGTCGTAGCGGGTTTGGATAATACGCATCACTTTGAGACAACCAGTCTGTCAAGTATTCGGTACGCTAGTCCTCGCGTATTCGCTAGGCTAATGTCTACACAAAATTCGCCCAAATAATCGAATACAAGAAAACGTGTGTGTGCGAATTCAAAATAAAATTCATAAAAAAACCCAGAAAAGTTTCTGCAACTGTTCACATCCACAGATCTCAATTGGTCGTTGGATTCGAGAGTTGTCTGCACAAGTCTTCATACGGTCACAAATTAATCTTTTTTCGTTGCATGAAGAGGATTGTCGGTGTCTGTGTAGAGCGGTTTCAAAGGAACGAAGGGTTGTGCTAGGTCGCTCAACTTGCATCCATCCTTGAACTTGTTGTGGTCCCTTATCAGATCGCCCTGTAGAGACGAGACAGAAAGAAATTGTCGTTGAAGATAAATTTTAAGGGTTTCAAAACCTGGGTCAAAAGAGGTCTGACAAAGTAAATGGACATGGTTTCTTCCTATTGCATTCAATCCAATCCATGTAAGGCGACAGCCTTGTGCTAGCTGGTGGGCGGGAACAGTGGTGTCGGCTTGACATTTCTGGAGAACTTCTAAATGGTTTTCACGAACAGTTTACTATGATTGTGGCTTCCAGGCTCTTGCGGATGTAGCTGTATGGAGTATGTACCATTCAGAGAGGAATTACTAACGCTGATAAATTGTCATCGTAACGCCTATAGCTTACCGTGAAAATTCTGGACGTAAGAGGAAGTTTCCACAAAGAACGAACCATAAACATCCCGTTATTATATAGTATGCGTGGTAAGATTGCTAAAGTGGACTTACGTACGTGCAATGCGGACGTTTCGCGGTTCCGAAAAGCAGACCGCCAGAAAACGGCGAAATGTCGAACTACTATTGACAAAGTACCTAGGCACATAAAGCTATTCGCTTACAGAGTTAGTGGCTTCTCCGAACATAAAACTATCTCGTCAGGTGATGCTGAAAATCAAGGGTTTTGTCAAGTATCCATTGAGAAGAGAGAGAAAGAAAAGAAGAAACGCAACATGTTCCAAGTTCACTCAGCCAGCAGCTTCCCATTCACTGAGTTCATTAGGATCACCAGTTGTAACTGCCCAGTAATCGCATGTTACGCAATTTGTAATGAATTACTTTTATTGTGGATAGTAAAGGCTCATCCTGGAATCTCAGACAAACGCAGTCAATATTTCTACCACCACTCGGTATTCCGGAACCAAACCGACCAGATACGGGGATAGTTCACCCAACGAAAAAGTATTTTTTGCGGTGGTATGGCACCCACACACCTGTTCTTAGAAGTAACAGCGTGACGCGTGCATTTCACTGAAGTAAGGGATAAAGTTTTCAACAAACCTCGGCAACTCCAACTTAGGCGGGACACAGGATAGACAGCTTTTGGTTGTGAGAGCAACGACAATTGGACATGCTATGCCAAGGCATCGATGTTCTTCTCGTGACAACGAATGATAAACCGTTAATCGTGAAGAAATGAGGAAGATCAAAGTAGCCATCTGGAAGAATACTACTCAATAATAGTATAAGGCTGATTCGGAGACCAGTAAAAAAGTTCTGCAATACATCCGCTCAGGTCAATAAGGTTGTATTATTGCTGGGTGTTCAGTTGAACGGAAGCAGCATAAACTGAATCGAGAACGGAAATGTTGAAGGGATTGCCCAAAAAATTGAACCTTTGCTCATTGTAAAACTGCCAACCCAGGTGGTTATTTCAAATGAGAATGGACCAGTTTGACAATAGTTCATCCAAAGTCTGGGTTAGTTCGGTAAGGAGATAGAATCCTCTTCAGTCATATTCTAATAAGTTGTACGCTTTTCAACACACTCTGTTAGCATTACTCCAACAAATTTTTTCTGTTCGCAAAACACTATTCATGGGGTCGCTGAACACTAGATATTTATCACGGCAGAAGTCCTGGGCAACCGGTTCGGCAATGCCAAAGTTCAAAGTAAAAGTCCCTAAGAGCCCACATAAAGTAGGGGCTACATGCATACCTTGTACAGACTGATCGGTGAGCTATGGAAGGTATATGAACACCTCACTCACCCTGACTGCGGGGAAAGTAGATTTCAGATTACATCCATGACGTTCAACAGAAACCACATGAACTGAGAGCTTCTTCCGTGTATTGGATGATGGGGAGATGTAATGCTGTGATGGACCAGATGACACAATGTAAGCAAGAACACATGAACTCATGACAATCGGAGGAAGAAGAAATCAGCTGATTATAACATTAATATCTATTCGAAAGCATTCATTTCAAACTAGAGGTCATGCATTTTCACAGTCTTCACACCAAAATCTCCACATCAGGATGTTGCACGGGGGCTACAGTCAACGGGCGAGGATAGCGGATATTTAGCTTACGCAGAGAATCCATATTTTCCGACAGCCATTCTGTTTTACATTTTACTTATCGCCTTTCCAAGTCCAGTCATCGTAAGTAGGTTGAAAATGCTCATCTTCACATGGGATATAACTGGACAACACAGTGGAAAGTCTTGTGGTATAGGTTAAGTAATGCCTGGAAATGTCTTCTAGGTAGCCGGGATGTTTCTTGACGTATTGGGTTTTCAAACGGTCTAGGTGTCCTGTATTTAAATTACATTTCTATGATTGTAAATAGTACGTGGAAGTGACCATCTGTACAACGCCAGATCTTTTGGCTGCTCTTAACCCACCATTCATTCTTCAATCTGCTTATGCAGTTCGAGTTTTTCACACTCACGTTGCAGTTTTCCTGACACGCCTATATCTACTACGAATGCTGGATTATCTTGATATAGGTGAATTCATCCTTTTCAGCCTTTTCTCCTCGAAACTGATGGAACCTTTGCAATGTTGTACTTGATCCTGACTCATTATTGTTCCCACGTAGTAGTCCCGTTGTGCTGGACAACGTGCGAGTGACTTCGGTAGTGCTGACCGATTTGACAGCTGGTAATATTAAGCGTGACTGAAAATAGCTTTGTCCCGCACCAGTGAAATTTCCTCAGAGCCAGGAGGACCTTGGACCGGTGTTGTAATGTGCCCATCGCAACACTCTCATCAGATAAACTCTTCTTAGATTCTTCTCACGGACAGTGGTATAGTACACTAGATTTCAATGATTTCACCTTGGTCAGGATGTCGCTTTTCCAGCAATGAATCGCGTATTCGTGATGACAATTTTCATAATTGCACCCTGTTAGTAGATCTCCATGGCGCCGATCATCTTTATCTGTTTGCGCAACCGATTCGGGTATTCAGGGTAGTTGGGAAATTAGATGACCAGCCTGATGGCTGCGGTTGGGTAGCCTCCCTTGAAAGATAGTTCGGCGAAAGCCACGTTGCTTGAATTAGTCATCATCATCTCGAAGAGATCTTAGACTAAGTAAACCGTACTTAAAAGACTGAGGGAGTGTCAAATTTTGACCAGCGATAATCCTTCTGAATTAAATGGCGGCCGAAATATTCCGGGACTTCTGTATGAAGGGGCCGAAATCAATGCCGCACTAGCTGATGGGAAAGCCTACCTAGCTGTTGTTATATTAATGAATGCAACACATTACGGTTGCGGTACTCAAGTAGGTAAAACTGCTGCACTTACGTCGAAGAACTCCAGCATCTCGGTCAGAGTAATTTCTTTCAGAATTTCGGCCTCAAGTAGCTCTGAAAATGAAGGTTTACAAAACATGACGGTGATCCAAAATGCTGATGGGCTCAATATGTGGAGGGCCATACCATCTTAGATTGATTTACTTATGAGTGTTTCCCGACAGATTTGTATGTTTTCAGAAATGGGGTACTCAAGTCAAACATTTACCCTAAGTTGTTTGCAACTTCAGTCAAAAACTACAAACTGAATTTATCAATGGATTTAGTTCTGGTAAGTGACAGACCGATCCTAAACAAGGAGTAGATAGGTTGTGCGACGGTCATGCCACGAATTTTTTGTCGGCATTACCAGAAACCACTCACGTCGTTTAAAGTTGTAGTGATGACAAGCGATTTCTGACCAGAAACGGGCATTTTTCTCCGTCATGTTCTTTGGCTTCTCCAACAGACGCGATGTGAGCGAGTCCACGTGGATTTGAAACTCTTCGGCTGACATGAAAATGATCGTGTCCTAAATGAAAATGAAATGAAACGATGAATGTCACAACACACAGAGAATACACATTGAGAACCTCGTTTCCAGGGGCACTAAACTTACGAAATTCGTTGAATTTTATAACATACGGATCAGACCAAACCGCGCAGACAATAGTGGTGCACACATACGAGACTGGTTATCAGAGGTTAACAAGAAACGGGAGGTGATGAGGGTTTTCATCATTCTTCTTGCTTCATCATCTCCAAAGTGGAGCTTCTGTCATTTCATATCTAAGTTAGGAATCTCTAACAGCTTATATTTAACGCACCGGATGTATAGTCACAATAGTTTACGCCGTTTAATAAATAATCGTTCACCTGTAACACTCCTTCGGTGCCTGGGTGTCATACCACTCGCAGGAAGTACGAGGGCTGGGATACTGCTAGGTTGCACAAGCCTAGATAGAGTAAGTCGAGATTCAGAGGTCGGGTTCGAACCACTGACCTTCCACGCTCTAAATACTGAGTCACTTCGCCCCAGTCACTCATGACTTGAGGATTTGTAACGGCATAGCAGCCTATGAGCCAATAGGGTAAGTAAAGATCAACCGAGAAACGTTTCGGTTTCATCATTAGGTTGCGGAATAACATGGAACTATAGGGGAGTGGCTACAGGCTGTCTTGCGGAATTCTGGAATGCGAAACCTGACATGATGTCGCCGGAGATGGCTACATAGAGTGAACTAATTGAGTGCTGTAGGATAGGTCGCACACAAGCATAAATGAAGAAGGCTGTGAAAGATGTGACATGTGACATTACATGTCTCATATCGTTTTTCATTCAATGATCAAACCAGTGACCATCTATGTCCGTTGTCGCACACAAGGACGTAACCGATCCACGTCCAGTTCCGAGAACATCTCGCTCTACGAGGTTGCGTTTTGGCAACAGCCTTCAAGCAATGATAACTAAAATCTTCGACGAGATGGATATTAGAAAAATCCAAAACATTGAAACTTTTTGCTAATGTAGGTTGCAAGAGACCCCGACCAACTTTACAGTAAGTGTTATCGTGCTCCTAGATCGCACGTATGAGGATGAGTATTGTGTCCCTAGTTTGTCGTACGATGCAAGCCCTAACCCGCTAACACAGGCTATAACCGAGACTATCGGCTGGTTCTAAAACTGGGGGGTCCCGGACGAAAGTGGAATTCTCATAGAAGTATGAAAAATTTGCACATTTGCCAGCCATGCATCGTCCGAATGGAATACCTATATTTTCATACATTTTTTACAACACATGACAGATTCTTTGGTGATAACTATCGCGGCATGATTTTATTTTGACAGCTAAAGTTTCCGCCATTCTCTTTCTAACCAGCTTTGTCAATGGGAGACACTTAGTCACCAAATAAAACCAAACAGTTTTTCACCCAGGAAAAGGTCACATGAACCGAATCTTGATGACGCGGTGTGTTCTGCAGCAATCCTATGAACTTCAACATGCGTTATCAACTTTTAGGCTGCGTTCCACTGCCTTAACCAGGAAGAATTGCAGGATACACTCCAGTGGGGGATATTCCAATGAAGCTAAGAGAGCTCTTGAGATCTCATGAGGTTGTTACAAACACGTGAGCCCTAATAAACGGCAAACAGTTGTCAACCTTTGAACTGGGGTTCGATAGGACTGTCCTCATTATTGTTCATCCTCGCAGTTTAGTGGATCACATACTGGTATAGGGTGGGTTTCGGACGTAATGTGTCTATCCTGCACAGCGACGCCGGTGGTCTCGCTGCAAGTCACTGGTCTCTCCACTAAGTCCTCAGCTGAATTTGCCAGTATGCACATACTGTCTCAAAAAAGCAGGGTTTCCGTGATATGAAACACTACTTGAAAGGCCGGCGAAGAACCTTTCACGACCCATCAAAAGTCCTGACCTTTTTGGAGCTAACCAGGTATGGTAAGACGCAATGGTACTCGTCCCAAATCTCACATTACACCAACGAAATATACTACTATATCTTGCACCAGATGGAATATGAGACGGTCTTTGTGAGCATAATTATCATAGAGTAGGCTATCTCGTGTCCGATTCTTTGTTGATAAGCTGAGGTGAAAATACATGGAAAGAAATTATTCCAATGATTAGCTGAGAAAGTTCAGTGGTTAATGTGCCAACTTACAGAGGGAAGGTCCATGGTTAGAACCCAACCTCAGCATCTCGATTGTTCATGTCTAAGCTTAGGCAACCTAGAAGTATTCCAGCCCTCGTACCTCCTTCCGTCGGCATGGCAGCTAGGCACCAAAAGCGTGCTACGGGTGAACGATTATTCAGTATTATTATTTCACGATTAACCGCATGTTCGAACAAGGTGTGCAGAAGCGGTTCATTGGGATTACCTTCCAACATCCTTCCGTGGGAAGGATGTTGCTCAGAAATCTGTGCTAATTTCGATTAATTAAAGTGCTCCGCAGACCACAGGTTCAAACGATACTGAGCCTATTGCCAGGGGTTTCGGTTAGACAACGTACATATTTCAGAATTAGGTAGGAACAATTAGCCGTTGACGCTTCTTGGCCTCTTTTAACTCGGGTCTAATATGTTTACTGTCTAACAGCGTTTCAAATATGTGCTTCAACCAGAGGAAAAACTCACCCTGAATGAGTACAGGAAGTTGTCAATAGATCTTTCCAATTCATCTGGCCTCATATTTGATTGAATAATGCAACGAAATCCTTGCAATGTATTTGACCTACGAGCGCCTGTATAGACAATGTGACCTGCACGGCGAGAAGAAAATGCAGCGATAATGTTCCAACCCAACTGCGTTTAAACATTATTTAACTTTCCTAAGTCACTCGAAACTTCCAAAAACCGAGGATAGGGCCAGCTTGCTAGTTCACAGACTTGCAATCATAACCATCGATCCACCCATAGTTGCTGTGGAATGTCACAATAACGTGAAGAAACTCTCGATAAAAACGATAAACCCTGTTGTAAACTACAAGTTTAAGAGTTTTGGCTGCTAGGGGTAATCCATTCAAGTAAAAGTTGACTAAACCAACTTTTTTTTACGTCGTGCGTTATGACCACATGTATTTGTGTTTATGAAAGGGGTGTTATAATCGGATCCTGTGGGGGTGTCATTTTCCACTCGCTTGGTGTTGTACTGTGAATCCGCGAAGTTAGCCGACATTTCAGTGAGAGCTGGTCACGTGGGTAGTTAATAGTGTTCATACGGATACTTAACATGATTCTAATGCGACAGAGGCGTATCTCCAATAACGGTCTAATGTTTCACAACCAGTGCATGTGGCGCAGCTAATGAACTCTAGTTCCGTTTGAATATCTAGGCAGCATGAAGATCTCACATGTGATTAGAAGCTCAAGAATTCCAGTAACACTTTGCGGCTATAAGGTAGACAGTTCGCAGTAAGCAGTACGTTTGACACTAGATGCGGAAAACCAAGCTCTAAAGAACCAAACCAATACAAACGACACAGCATCTTACCGAGTTGCTCTTCCGTTTTCAGGACGCTCTGTGCATGTTCATTGATAATTTCACAGAATAAATTCAGCACAGCATCCTTACGCGTGCTTTGTCGTGGGCCTTGCAAGTAGTAACAGATGGCTGAATTAGGCTGATGCTGTGTCAATCGCTGGAAAACTGCCTTTGTCTCTGTGATGTGAAATGGAGAAAAGATAGAACGACAACGATGAAGTAAAATTTTACAAAATAACCCAAATACAGGTTGGTTTAATAGTAGTTGACTTGAAGCAAACAAACAACGTGGAAAACAGATAAGAGATTCCTTTCGGTCCACAGACAACGCATCAGTCGTTTGAGAAGAACTGATATACGTCAAATCTGTAGTTCAAATACAAAACAAATCTGGCAGAAATTCGGGGGCAAGGTAAACCACAAAAGGAGCGGGACCCTCAATGGGCTGTCAGAGACTTCACATCAACCCCAGGAGTTGTGCCACATGAAGTTGAACACACGGTTTTACGGTATTTCGATACCGACAAAAAATGTTGGGGATAAGAGACTGGAACCCTCCTACTAATTAGAAAAGCGAACAAGTAGAACAAGTGACGCTAGGTTAAGGGGGAACAAATGTTCGCCAATAAGAAGCGTGAGCTTGCTCATAAAAAATGATATTCTAATAAAAGACAAACCTCTCTTGAAAATCAAAAACACCATCCACGCACCAACATTTGCAAACTGAGGCTAAATTATTGGTTTAACATCACCCTTGAGTGTTCCAGTGAGATATTGCATTTCACACGTCTTCAAATTTATTGAGGCCACTGCAATGAGCTGACTGCAACCGTTGCATCACAATCAGCAGATGCGCGTGAATTTCAGTGTGTATCAAATAAGATACTGGTGTTGCCACCCGCGTTGTCTGCGTACTTCAGATTGACGAGGTTCGCAACAGCAACACTTTGAAAACCGGGCTTTTGAAGACCATTCGCCTCATTATTTCATCAACCGCGAAGTTGAACGAGAACGGAGAGAGTGAACATCCTTGTCGGTCACCATTTTTGTAATAAAGCTTTTGGAAAGCTCACACGCCCAGAAGTATGTGAATATAGAAACCGAATCACGATCACAAACTTCTGACGCATTTCCTGTTCAGCAAGAGTGGTAAACCGGTCGGTAGAGTCACCCACCCTTGAGGTCAGGGAATACCACGATTATGGGTCGTCTGTTGCTCAGACAAAACCCACTTGAAATGCCGCCTCATGCCCACGGATCGAGGATTCGCGTGCTGCCGCAAGACGATAAGAATCAGTGACACCAAAAGCCTTGTTACAACGACAGTCAAACTGACATCCCTATGCTTACTACATTCACTGCGAATATCCTTTTTGAAAACTTCACTATTATCGACTCACCCCGGTTGTCTGGAACGGTCTGTTTCACTCAGATAGACTAAAATAAGCCAGACAGACACTGGCTGAGGAATCCACCACCATCCTTGAATTTGTGAATAGCGTAAGTATTGCGATGTCATGGAGCACCCTCCCGAGGCCGCGTGCAATATTTCCCTATTAGAAAATCAGTCGAATTTCATCCTTCTACAAACTTTATTCCTCGAAGTTGTGAATTTTTCAACTCCTGAACGGCTGGAGTTTAAGCTCAGGACCGAAGCAAAAAAGCAGCTGAAAAACTCGAAAAGATGTGGTAAACATGCTCTGAACACAGAAACGGCTGGCGATTACAGACGGTTAATGTGTAAATAGATGGATGAAAACGTCTCTAGTAACTGCAGAGTAATTCATTCGCATGGAGTGGCCAGAGAATCTACAAGGTTAGCCGCCGGTACAGTTTGAACAAAAAAAAATCTTTGTCAATGGGCAACTCATAACTTGAGGGATATCGGGCAAACATAAATCTGGGACAATGATCCTTCTTCTCCCGCCTTTCTAACTGCCATGAAACAGGAGCTTGTAGGAAGGTGTTTCCTCCTGTGAGTGAAGCCAATCTATGCTGAAAAGCCAGGAAGCACTGTAGAGGCATCTCACCCTTATTGGGATCCATTAGGAGTGAGCATTTCACGAACGCTCGATCTTCCGGCCAGCGGTTGGACAACAACCAGTTTGCTACGAACGGCTGATGGGCACCGTGAAGAACTCTGGTATAACAAGATATAGCGCCACTCATACTGCAATCGTAGAAGCTACATAACGTGGTTAAACAGCGTGTCAACTGGATCGTCGGGTGACGTGACGACATCTCACATACTTCTCAGCTGAAGAGTACAATGCTAGTTTTTCCAATGCTGTCTATTTGGTGTTACAAACAAGAAGCGATTGAGCTTAAAAGCACGAAATCAAAGGGGGCTACATCCTTCTGTACGACAGCATTACATTACACGTGAAAGCTACTCAGTCTGAGTGGATGATGAAAAGCCAACTCATCCTTTTATAACCAACGGATGTTTCCGCCAAACTATTTTACTAGAGAAGCTTTGAAGAAGTGACTTTACAGATAAAACGCTTGAGGAAAGCGATATAGTGCTAACGAAACCATCCAAGATTTTCAAGGACCTCCGCTACCGATCAACTGATGATTTTCGAACCCCAAATAAGTCATATGGTTAGGAAACGAGCAAACGCGCCACGTGATGGTAACTGAATGCACGAACCCGTTGTTGGGAATCGCTAGGACGGCCAAAATGAGTTGGTCGCACAACTGGGCGATTCACCGAAACGTAAAAATCCCTTATTCTCGGACAATTAGACACTTAATTTGATCCTTTTGTCGTACGAAGTTTCTTCCGACCTCCCCGAGTTTTATCAATAGGGTTTAGGTCAGGTCCATGAGTCGGACAAAGCAGCGAATGGACGTTGTGGAAAAATAACCAAGAGTTTACGAGGTTTGCTATAGTGGATAATATTGATAGCTCAGGTAGCTCAGGTAGATAGTCACTGGTTTGTTCGTTGAGCTGGACGATTTGTTTTCAAAAGTTTCATTATCAATCGAAGTGACACTATCAGTGCGTTGTTAGAGAAAGTACTGGAACGTAGCGATGGGTTGGTGGTCTTGTGTAGTTGGTTTACGAGGTAGGAGTACGCAACCGTCGTCATATTGACAAATTACAGCCTCATTCAAACTGATAACAGTAAATGAAACGAGAAAGATAATCGGTGTCATTACACAATAATCAGACATACTCTTGGTTTTTTCTTCGAACATTGTCGTGAGTCAGCTTAGCCTTTGAAAGCATTGCGAAGTACATAATCTGGTTTTGATCCGTCTACCTCTCTTCCAGGTACTGTACGTTATTACTTTTCCCTTCTCAGGTGTCAACCTTGAGAACTCATGAACCATTTCTTGACCGTTTTGAATAAACTATCAATCCATTCATCTGGACAGTACATCTCGCTGGTGGAAATCATATCAATGACATGATACGACTGAGTTGCAACTTACGGAAACAATCCTACTCATGCACGCATCTGATAAGAAACCAGTAAGTATTAGCGTGTTGTATTCCCAAGACGAATATGGCTTTTCGACAAGCTGTACATTTAATTTGAAAAATTGGTGCGCCTTTAGTAAACACCTTAGTTGTGCGGATTATTTCAATATTGAAGCCCCTTAAGTTGTGGAGGAATAGATATACTTAACACTACGAGAATCGTCCAGCCATAACACCCCTTCGGTGCCTAGCTGATAGGCCAAATGAAAGGAGCAAGAGGGCTGAGATACTGGCGGGTTGCTCAAGCCTAGACAGGACTAGTCGAGATGCTAAGGTTGGGATCGAACCGCAGACTGTCCGGTCAGTACGTTTGCGCCTTAACCACTGAGCTAACTCTAGCTGGACAAGAATAATGGGGTATAGTAATTTTCGCGCTACACCAGTCTGCATCCTCAATGCTGGGAAGTGTTTTCAAACATAACGTTGCATGGTTCATGCTGAATAGATTTTAGCAAAGGTAAGTGGGAGGATTTTCAAAATAGTCCATCACAGTTAGAATCTTATGGTAAATTCAGGTGTTTCTAAATTCACCTGCAGACAATGTATCGTCCCTCTCAGTAACTTGAAATAAACAGTTATCCAGTATCAAATAACTTTGGACGCACAATCTATATAGGTTACAGAAAAGGATCTGTATCATTTACAGAAATAAAGTAGGGGACTTACGTCCAGGTAAAATGGTTTCTCGGGCCATCGTGATTTGTGTAGGGCCCAGTGGTTTCGTACCGAACTGCATTTGGAAGGCGCCTTCAATCAGATCACGATGACTCAATGCATCCTAGATAATAAGGTATGAAGTGTAAAAATAGATGGATTTAGTCCATACATTATCGAGCATATTGGTAAAAATGATAGTTGTTCTGTCTTCAGATCTGCTTGAGTGAGGGGGCAGCATCTAAAACATGTCACGTGGTCATGCCTAATAGGGTGAAATGAGAATGAGGTAAGTTGTTGTACTATTACGTTTGGAAAAGCAATATGTGGCACGACGGGGATGTAAAAACGGCTGATGGATGATCATCTTGTATCAAGCAAAAGTTACGTTGTCCATAACCGACAACCGAAATAAGCATGCTTCGTTTAAGCGCAGGAACGGCTTGGAGACCCAGAAGTAAGGTCGTTTGATACAATTCCAGTGTATCTGTAGGCGCAGCCTATATTACACCAGGTGAGACCTTAAGCTGACTCATGGTCAGTTTTAACAAGGATAGTAGGTGGGACCGAAAGGTTTCCAAATGTCAATGTGAAGATTGGAAAAAGTGAGTAAATGGCCTTCCCAAATGTACGTGGACTGCAGTTGACATCGCAACAGTGCGGTAAGCGGTGATATGAAGAAACCTGACACTGGGTCCATGTACTGTTGCAGAATGAGAGCTGCCAGGTGAACGCAGGCCCACTGAGCGAATGTGACGTGTAGACCTATCGTGACTAAGTTGAATACCTACCACAAACGTGACTTGTTTCTTGTTTTCCAGGGCATGAGTAGACAGGACTCAAGAAGTAACTGTGGGAGATGCCAACATATATTATTATATCATTCTTCCAATGGTGCTTCTGAGTCTGAGCTATTGTTTTCAATATGAAGCTTTCTCTTCCCAAAGATGCATCGACTCGATTTTTCGTAAATCAGCAAATCCGATTGGTCGGTTGTGGTGAATCGCTTTAATTTATCAAAACAACATTAACCGTACACAAAACTACGATCATCACCACATTACTAACATTAGAACGCTACCTGTAACTTGCGGGAACTTTTGTTCCTCCGATATTACCAATGTCACTAGCGCGAATCACTATTTTAAACGGCATCGAGACACGTGGTTCGACAAATAAGTGGGAATCAGCCGATTCACAACCGGTAGAGTAAGTGAACCGGCACATGTTTAGTTGAATCATCAACTAACCCATCTAAGCAAACGGTACGCATTACAGTTCATCATCGTTATAAGATCATCCCCCATTTGCGAAAAAACTGGCGACAATCAAGAGTCGTATAATAACGAGGTCAACATTGGCAAGGTATCGGGCACTTGTGGAAGCTATTTACGATCAACTGCTCAGCTGCGACACCCTTTGGTTGCATAGACGCCGTGCAACCCGAAGAAAGCATGAGGGCTGAAACAATTCCTGGCTGACCAAACCTGGACAGGAGCAATCATAAAGTCTGAGTTAGGTTCGAGCCACGGTCTTTTCTGTTAGCGGCTCCGCGCCTTAGCCGACATCTGCAGCCCAAATTACACCATAGCAGTAACTCTCCAATCTTGTCGACCGTATCAGGTGCGAGTAGAACCAAAGCATCTTCGACTTAGGCAGGTGAAATACATTCTAGTTTGGATGCAGCAGTGTATGTTACTCAACCCGAACAAACCCAGGTACAAATTCAAATCAAGGGACAAATACATGACCAATATCGCCTTCGTGAACAGCTCGTCATTTACTGGGAACTGATCATTGTGTTTCAAATCATGTTCCGGGTCACAAACGGTAAGGTGATGAAGTTAGCTTAATTGTTTGCTATCAGAAGACGGGAATCGAACCTGTGTAGACAGAAGTAGTCTGTCATACCGTTGACCCTCCATTGGTGACTCGCTTTTGACCTTCATGTTGTGGACATTGTTGCTCTTTTTTATTTATTTGCCATTGTTCTGTAGTACACGCTTGAAGAGGTACAGCAAGACAGACTATCGTGTCTTCATTAGGATCGTAACGGCAACGTCGATTTAATACTGCCGTTCTCAAACGATTAGGACTTGTTAGCCATTTTAGGTAGTAGACCCTCGTATTTGGATAGAACAGGTTAGAACAGGCATGAGCAAACGAGTGAATGTGGACCGGCCACTTGAATAAGAGTGACCCCGCTTAATTGAGTAACCAGTGGACAAAAAACCATGTACCACTGTCACAGCCACATGTTATCCTAAGTACTATATATGCGTTATCATATATCGCATAGTACAGGTCACGTGACGTTAGCAACGAAGCCAGAAAACACCTGCTTTCACTTGACCGTGCTGTCTATTCAATAGGGTGAACACAATTTGGGCTTTGAATAACGCACCTCGAGGGGCGGACGACAGTACACTTGGGGATACAAAACAATAGCTGTTTGTGCAAGTCCATTTGTGACGAAGGGCAAGGGTGTCGCCTCATCAATTCACGGTATAATGAAGGTACACTGTACAGGATCAGTCGCAATTTCCAACCATCATGGTGAAAAAACTGAACAAAAAGGAATCACTGGACTGAGAAAGTCAATGCATATTTGTTACGAAACTACAAACATAGTTGCGTTGATACTATTACTATGCTTCTCTCATATCTCTTCAGGTATTAAAAGTGATCAACCTAGTTGAAGTATTAACTCGATCGCCAACGACACAATGTACCATTAAAGTGAGTAGGGCCAGGTCAAACAATACATCGACCGGTTAATTTAGAGTAGGAATTCCTATCTAGATAATGCAGACAGAAACACAGACACCAAAGTATCTCGTTGAAAACGCATATATTGATCCCGACTTTAGACGTCTGCGGGCTATCCACTCTGACCAGTTGTGATAGACAATCAATAAACTGACGCACGGTTTTCAAAGTAGCTTGGGTGCGTTAGTTGATTTGAAATTATATGACTGTTGAATTATTGGATAGACTCATGATGAGTCACATGGAGAATTGAGGCATATATGCTAGACTTGGCCTACCGTCTGCGATAACTTAGCTAGTAGAGCATCCTGCAGGACGCGCGATTTCGTTGCCGCCTGCCAATTTCAGACTCTGCTTTTGCACTAGATTTTAAGGCAGAAAAATATAAGGTTTGTCGGGAGTCGCAGCTAGCTGAAATATTAAGCCTCTGCTGGACCTCATAAGCTGAGCACAGACGTATCGACCACATAGGCCTGTCATTTACAGTTCACGATCTTGACCCAAGGACGATATGGATGCCAACCGAAATAATGCCACTGGTAAAGTAAGTAAGTAAAGTAAGTAAAGTCGCAAAGTAAAAAAGGGAAGCAAACCCCTCCTGGGCGTGGATCTCTTTTCGGTGGGGAATATACTAACTTCTGGTTGACGTGAAACGCCAGTGTACGTGCTCCTATGGGGATTTGTCTCTCTTCTTTGAGAACTCACTCTACTAGATGTGCTTTTTCTCACCACCCCAATAGCTGTTAAAAATCCGTTAGGTTCAGTGACTGATAGCACCAACCGAGTTAACAGAGCAACTAGAGACAGTCAGTTGTCAAAGATACAGACTTTTGGAACTAGTACCATACATAGCCATACATAGCTTGGCAGCAGTTGACATTGGATAAAACGTACCTCCAGAGTAATGTTTCCATATGCTAGAATTTCAATGAAGAGCTGGGAGTAGAACTCTTGAATGAATCCCGTCAGCAAATCAAAAGTAATTTCTGAAATCACGAGAAGGGAATATTGAGTGATAAGAAACCTTGTTAGCTGTTGGATCCCGATATGCCAAGCCGATTTACTCAACCAACCTCTGAAAGTCCCAAGTTAGGGGTAGGTACTAGGGTATTCAGCATAAATCGCTAAGTTTTAAGTCAAATTAAGCAGGACACTGAACGATCATATCTTTTCATGAATCGAAGTAGAATTCTGGTCACAAAGAACAACTTCCATCTAAATTTTTTCATTGTAGTAATGTTTAGAAAAGCGTTTGTTTCCAAAACCAACCTTTTAGTTGACTTTGTCTGCAACAGCCTAAAAACTTAATACTCTCGGATTCAGAGGACGATTAGACCAGGCAATTGACAGAACGTAAATTCAGAAGCGGAAACTATTCCTACTAATCAACGAAACACAAAAACCAAGTCTTATGCTACCGAGTTAATCAAATAATATTTTCAACAGTAGTCAATTTGGTCATCGGCTCATGTCCCCATGTAGTCCATTCGATGTGTTCAATTGGAACTGTTCGCATCATCATCGGCAGCAAGAAATCAGTGTTCAACACCGATGCTTCATTGCCATGATTTATTTGAAAGCCTTATTGTAAAGAGAAGAATAACGGTGGACGGGAAAGAGACTTAGTGCTAGCTTACCACAATCATTCCGAGGTACCTACACCTTCAGACACTCATTCAGGCAATCTGGATAGAAACCGGGAACAAGAACGCCAATGACTTCGGTTGGCAGCCATAACTTGCAGCGTATCCAACTAGGAGCAGTGTGAGTCACGCGGTCCCCATCCTGGAAGCCACTGACAGCACCCAGACATTTCGTAATCATTTTCATACCCCTCTGCCAGCATAAGAGTTGGCAACTTCTCTGAGTTGTGTATAGAAGACAGCACTCTGTGCGACAAACGATGGTCTGGCATAGGCAACACATGACCTAACTAACACAGCTTCTGGTGCTGGATACTTCAATGACAGCCTCCGTTGCACAACCGAACACTTACTTTCTCATTGCCCAGTTACAGATTTGCCGACACTAACCTACACGGGCTATGGTTCTGAGACTACAGTTTTCGAAGGCCTAAAGACGTCTCATTTCCGCTATCCGAACAGGCCAAGTCTCACAGCCATACAACAAAACGGCCCGTACTGTAATCCGATACACACGTCCCTTGAGATTCAGTGATATACCGCTTTGACGCCATAAGTGTATCAAATTAGCAGATTCGTGCATTGACCTCATCTGTCTCACTACAATCAGAACTAATACAATTTTTAAGATTCGTTAAACACTGCAAAACTTCGAGTACCTGTCCCTGGATTGTAAGTGGCGTGTTCAGTGACTGCATGTCCACGAGCATAAGCTTACACTTTGTGAGTGCAAAATACGCACCAAGAACGGGATAACTTTGGTCAATTCGTCCAAAACACCTGCGTCTTCTCTTCGAAGATGAGAACGATGTCGTCTGCATATTCCAGATCGACAAGATTTTCGTCACCGGCTATTTGAACATCAGGGTTTTGGAGACACTCTAGCCTTCGTTTCATGATTTCGTCGATCATGAAGTTGAATGTGAATGGAGGAAATAGGCATCCCTTGACACCACTTTGTGTACAGAGGCTTTTGGAGAGCCCACCGTATACTCTCAAACGCCCGAAAGTCTGGGCATTCCTTGGTGGGCAAGAGTGTCAAGCAGAACAGACCGGTCGACCGAGCCAAAAGCACCTTGGAAATCCAGGAATACTAGAATTGGGGGTCGCTTGTACGTATGGCGTTGTTCTAGCACCTGATGAAGTGTGAAGATTTGGTCAACGCAACTCCTACCAGGCCGGAATCCCGCTTGCTGCTCTGGAGTCAGTGTCTCCACTGTAAGGCGACGAAGCACAAGTGACGCCACAGTTTAGATTTCATTGTTACAACACAACAATGAAATCTAAACTGTAGAAGAATGTGAGTCACCTCCGTTTTCTTTGAAAGGATGATTCCTCTGCTACGATCTACAACTCAGAATAATTGTTGTTCCTGAGAATTACCTACACAGACCAACCCCCGCCCCCGGAACACTGGATAGGATGACCTGGCACTTTTCTTGTACAGCAAGAGAACAGAGATGCAGTGTGAGAAAAACGAAAAGTTTGATAACAGTCCATGACAAAGGTAAGTGAGCTGCTTACCTGTGGGAAGCTTGAATGATCAGTGGCGACCGATGTTGCCAGGGTGGTTGCTGTGGGACCAGGAGCACCAACAAAGTGGGGAATGGAAAGTTGTGAAGTCCCGGTTGGTTGTCGCAGTCCGACTAAAGTTTGAGGAACTAGGTAGGTTTGTTGACCAATCTGAACGAGATGACCTGGAAAAACAAACAAAAGCCGTCAAAAACTTGTAATACGGGGCGAAAAGAAAGGGTTGGTTAGGACGGAGTGACAAAATCGAGGTCTGAGCACCACTTGTTACTATTGTTATTTTACTGTAGAAGGCGGTGAAATAGTGAAAGTGACGTACGAACCCAATTAATCATATTTGATGTCCTGATTCACCCTGTGCATCACTAGTTTTCATCTATGTAACATTAAAAGGACACTGATATTGAAAGGCTGCATCTTCCGTTGCCTGCTTCGTCTGATTCAACGAACAAAACACCTACAAATACAAGTCCATCGGGTCCCATGCATTTGCAGAGGTTTAACGGGTACAAATACAGTCTGATAGTACACCAGTTCTACATAGCCATATTTGACAGGTGGCACCTCGGCCACGGAAACTGATGAATGACCAAAATAATTATGCTGACGCTTGGTTTTATTCTCACTTTTGTCTGGGGAAGTACTACTGTCCCAGTCCCTAAGAGCCACGCGTGATTCGCTACTACAAGTCCCTGGTTTGCTAGTTTGTTAGATTTTTATCTGTGGTATACTCGTATTACACATCCATTATAATGTATTCAGTTGCTGGATCATTTCTGGATTCGTATAACATTACATTATTTTACTCTGTGTACTGGTTTACAACTCAAACTGAAACATTTCGGAACGCCAACAAGAGACCACAGATGTGCAAACCGAACTAACACTAAAACAAGCCGGTCAGCTGTGCACATCCTTAGCTCTACCGGGACTGAGACTCGGACATCGAGCTATTCAGCTGAGATTCCATTGAGTCTCCCGGTAAAAACTTTTTTGAGTTGTCACTGTCACTAGCTTGTCAGAAATTGCTCTAGCCAGCCTCATTTGCGGATGTTCCAAGTGGTCCTTCACTATATGAAGCCGTAGGAAGCAGAAACTCAATTATTACCCCGTTGGATAGATTTACTTTTAGTATTGCCCCATTTATCCAACGATCTATTTTCTCTTCTACAAAATCCGACAGCAATGATGCACCCCGGGACTTTTCGTATATTGCTGTGAGCATATGCAAACCGGAAGTTGAGACTACTTTCTGGCTGAATATTTCGCACTCCACTCATACTGAGTGAGTATGAATTTGAACATTGGTCTACACATGGAATACATTTGGAACGGTTATCAACATAACGCAACACTGCCGTTTTCACGCAGAACCTAGCTATCATACGTGGTCGCACAAGTATTTCACACTTATCTGATTTCTTTCCGAATTAAACCGAACCTAACCATCCAAAATTAATCACCAATCCAGGATACGCAATTCCTGATTTGTCACAGAGGCCGGAATAGGCGCTGTGATCACGAAACAACATAGCTATTTCGTGCAATATGAGGCGAAAGATTAGTCAAGTCTTTGGGATGGTCGGTCTTTTTAGGATTAGAAAAGTGACCAAAGCATAGCTGTACTTTATGATTATGTAAAGAATTGCTATCTCATTCTCATGCTAGGTTTTCGAAAAAAACGAGGTACGTGGTATGTTTTCCGAAACTTCTCACCTGGAAAACTAGCGGCTAGCTCATCGTTGATCCACGACCGATCAGTTATAACGTTGGTAAGATATATTCCCGCTTGTTGATAGGAGGCTTTCATTCCAAAATTGGCTATTTCGTGCCAAATTTCTTCACGCATACAACGATACCGGTCTACCGAAGGCGTGAAGAAGTGGATAAGCGTGTCGATCACATTTCGAATAAGCAAACCAAGCTTATGCGAGTAGCCAGTGAATGAGAGCTGGTTGGAAAAACGAAAAAGGGAACAGTAAAGCCAAAAACAATGGACGACCGAAAACAATTGATCCGTTCAGCCAGGATGACGGGAAAACATACTATCGTTCCTTTCACATTTACCCAACCAATCAAACCATGTACTCTGAACACACGACGATTTTTCCGTGGCACTCGTCCTCAAACTCCAAACCGAACGGATGGTTGTGTAAACTGATATTAAGTCGACAAGTACACTCATTTGTCAAGATCTGTCCAGTTCGGGTTCAATCAGAGCATAAAGTTGACGGCAACTTGCGGAGTGCGCCTACCTGATGAGCCTCAAGAGCGACAAAACCAGTCGTGGGCTGTCGAAGAGTTTTCAGCTACTTTGCAAGTAGTTTTCTTCGTGATTTTAGATCTTCTAAACAATACGGGGCCTGAATACCCTGATTCCTAAATTTTACTCAGATTCAAGCATAGCCAAGGTGGAATTGGAGCACAGGGTAGCTTGAGTAGTTAGCAGCTAGTTTTCTGTTTACAGTGTCCGGTTAAGATGGGTCCGTTGGAGAAAATTTGTCAAATACAACACATCACCTGTAGAACAATCACTGACCAAATCAATCACCTCCGTAAGCGCTGAAGAACTTTGGTACAACACTGGTCCACTCACTGTAGTCTAGGTCAGGGGGGAGATACAATTGTGGATTAGGACGAAATTGTACAGCGTCATTTTAACTGTCTACTTAATTCATCACTAGCTGTGATAATCTCCTAATTAGACCAGTCCAAATTCGTACAAATCATCTCACTGAAAAAATGCCAGTGTACTATTAAAGAATAACCTCATTTGATTGTTTTCAATACCGAAATCGCGACATCAACTTTAACGAGACCGAAAAGAAAGGGAAAGGAGGGGAAAGATAATGATAAAGAACCGTCTATCGTAACAGCCTTGTTCAGCTGTGCCCCAGAAAGAGGCACCCTCACTGAAGAGACATTTTCACAGGATTCAACGCTGCTTCATTAAAATCCTCTCTGTGGCGGTAACCCTGCGGGAGCATACATAAAGACTTTTCGGTTCCTAAAGTTATTACTCTACCCAGCAAAGGAAAAAGTCCAGAAATTGTAATACCCCCATGTGATTGACCTACAGACCTTCGAAAAGAACGGTTGATATCAACAGCATTACTGCCACGTTATACCATAAAGCCAGTCTAATGGCTTTTCTTGACTGAACTCGGGACATTGTTTGGCTCATTCTGTGTACACGGTAGCATTTTAAAAAATGGTTTTACAGAGAGTTGCAATATGGGATCAATGCGATAACCTGTTCATTCTTTGATGCATGGGGTTTTTAGGTGTTGCGTCACAACAGTTTATAAATCGTCTTGAATATTACTGAACAACACGAAAGCTGCTCATTCTTGGTAGTCTAGACAATCGGAAATAAGGACCAGTAGACAAGTCCAATGTGTCAGTGAATCAATATACATTTCGTTTAACTAGGTGCAATCGATTAATTCGGGTAAATACTTCTCTGCAGTTTGACGAAAACCGTTGAAAAGACCCCAGAGTGAACTTCCGGTCGCTAGGTAGGTGGGTGGTGTTGAGGTTCCCCATACCGAACTTTGAGTGACGCGTAGGTTTGACGATTGAAGGGAAGTATTGGGTTCGAAGGTCTACGGTACTACTTACACAAAGGTGAGCAATAATACACAGGAAAACTCAGTAGTCCACGTTCAGGGTGTCAACACGTGCGCAATTCTGTTACTGGCCAACGCAGCGCTGTGTCAAGGTCCACAGACCAACCAGACAACGGCGAGCGACATGTTGCCTCGGTGGTATGGGACGCAGTCATCCGTTCCGAGGCCAGCCTCCTGATCCTGATTGGCACTACGGCCACACGAAGATTGTGAAAGGAGTCAGTTCAGGCTCAGCAGACGGGGCAGGAACAGGCATCGATATGTAGGTCAATGGTGCGCACACACCAGCTGGTATAACCGTGTCAGACGGAGTGGCCTTTGCGGCAAGGTGAATCGTGGGTGTGGAGGGACGGAGCAAACAAATGAACGGGGAAATTATCATGACGACAAACTAGATTCAGTAGGTTGTTCCAATTAATTCCTTCTCTCTCGAAGTAAAACACTCCACATCGACGAGATATCTAGGTGTCAACACAAAACGGACATTTGTGTGCAGCTGAAAGAACGGAATGGAACATAAGTACGAAAACCCCTCATACTGGAAGGCCATCAACAAACTGCCTTAAAAACACGGTTGCTAGACAATGGCGGACGCGGATTTAATGCCGGGCAAAAGCAGTGCAGCTTCCCACAAACTTGGTGCCCGTTGGATAAATTGACCGAAAGTTATCTAGAATAGGACTAATAAACAATCACATCGTTTAATTCATTACGAAGCAGATGAAAGTACTGTGGTTTAGTATGACCCTTTATGTACGGACAATCCTCAGGTTTTCGTGTGGTTCGTAGACCATGTTCACAACACACAGCGTGAGTAGAATAGAGATGAAAGCGATTTTGGGGGGCTGGACTACCACTAAGGACGATACGAAAAAGTCCGGAACGCTTTCCAAGACCAAAACAACTTTTTTCGGTGACATCGAACCACCACTGCCCAAAGAGAAACTGCGTTTCACACCACAATGGAGAAAATACACTGTTCTTGCATGCATTACTTTGATTTTTTCCCTTCTTCTCTCTCTTTAATCATATTGGAGAGTCCTTGGGCGATGAAGAAGTGGGTATTGATAGGGTATTAATAACGTGAATGTAAGCCTCTACTTAGATGTAAAGTAGGATTCTTAAGGACCATCTACAGTTCACATTTTAAGCTGCAGTTTCGAAAATTGAGTGTGGTCGGACCTCGACCCAGGATGGTGCGAGCGGATCAGTTATGCGACCATTAGGTTAAGCTTGAAGTAAACTAAACAACAGTGGTCTCAAAAATTTAGGAAATCATTGTCATCGCAAAGTGGAACCAATATTATTTACAGAAACACAACACGGGATGACGCAAAACAACAATAGAAATATCTAGGTTGAACGAGAAGGAACTCCGCAATCACCTTGATTCCCTGAGTGGTGCGTCGTATTTCAACAACCATTCCAGCCAACAGGCAGTTGTACGCCTCCTCCCCAATGTGATCTTCGAAAAGTTCAACATACAACGCGGTGAGAAGTGTTTTCAGTGGGTTGAAAAAAGCCAATGGACTAAAAAGATACGATGTCAGAAGATAAAGCATATTTATTAAATGCTGAGTTATGAGTAGGTTAGTTGTGTTTCAACAGATTGTGTCACGTGAAATCATATTTGGAAATTAAAGAAAAGAACGAAGTGTGTGTTCAGCTACTCTATAGTCGAGGGTTTGGTTACCCCAAGATAGTCCCTGCCCTTAAGAACGTGACCAGCGATATAATATATATATATATATATATATATGCAATGGTTAGTTCGTAACCTTTGTTTGGTTTGGGGAATCGTGAGCTCTCAGCCTATTGTTGTTGTATACATAAATCCGAAATATCAATTCTGAGCATTGTAACGAAGCGAAGGGAAATGTTTGTGAGGTGATTTGTATGTGTGGCATGAAATGTCTGAACTCTCTAGGCAATTCTGATAGAATTTGGACACAAATTACTAGGGACCATTTCACAGATTTCTCCAGTGTCACGTATGCCTGTTGCAATAGATGAAGTCTCCAGCGTCGCACGATTCGTGCACAAACGGAAGCGTTATTTCTCAAAAGCACTTGAGTGAGTCGTTAATGTCACAGTGAAGCGCTTGGAATTTGGTAAGTAAACTTGATTGGACGAAATCGAAAGTCACCCAGAATATCTACACAGCCGGCTAGGAGCAGTAAACTAGCTAGAGTCGAGTCACTTGCGCGTACCATGAGACTGGTGATGACCAAGGTACAGACCAGCAAAAGAATCCAATTCAGCTATAAATGTCATACCCCTAAATTACCAGCCACAAAATGGATGGTGTGGCAGTAGAGGATAAAACGCAACCGCAAGAGCCACAACACAAGTGTTATCGTAGTAACAAACCTACCAGTAACATAATGTGCACTAAATCAAGAGGTCGTTGTGACGGAATAGGCCTCATTTACTTATTTGATGAAGGATATCCAGAGGATGATCAAGCATACAGGCGACAAAAAAAAATGCGAAGATTCGTTACACCGAGTGACAACACAGAGGATATACTGCAGTGTGTTCCCGCATCTGGCTACAAAAAATCAAGATAAATGTCTGATTGTCTAGCGGCTAACATACGTCGTTCGCTATTTTTGATGGGGCTAAAAAACGTGATATTTCAGTTCCACGCAAGACCGATGCAGATCAAATGCAGGTCAGACCAAGAAGGGCTTCAGTTGTCCTATGATGAAAACATCACGAGAATCAAATAAAACGGAATGTGTGGGAATGCCATAAGACGATTTGCTTGACAATGCCTGGCTGATGGTTACGGTGCGGAATGCAAAATCTCAAAATACAAGACCTTTTAATTAACAAAAAGAACCATATCAACAAAACAGTCAAAATGTGAGTCATTTGCTCGTTTATTAAGGTGCTAATTTTAGTATTATGGCACTTGGTTATCCTCGCGAGCCTATGTGAGCTGGCGGCACTTTGTATTTAACTGCGAAGCAGGGTTCAAGCAATAATAAAAGCCACTGCATTCAATGAAATCACGTGAAACGGACAATCCGATCAAACAGCAGAACTGAGCCGATCCAGTGTACTGCATCGGCGGATTTAAACTGCTGTGAGGAAATGTAATTACTTGCAGACAGAATGATCACCTCCGAATCCGTTGTAGAGTAAGGGAATAGTTCGGGGTGTCATAGCGTGAATACACAAGAAATATGTCCAAGGAATCTCGTAGGAACACGAAAAATTTCGCCGAACATGCCCGAAATGAAGACACAGTTGAGAATAGGGTCGCAGGGATTTTCACGCTATAAGCGATAGTGAAACAGTGAGTGCATGTTTGTATGACTTAGCTGCAAACACTGTCAGACGACCCCTCTGGGATATAAGCCCATCAACAGCACAGATCGCTTGAATTCATGGCACGTACTAGTTGACAGAAGTAAAAATAAAAGAGGGACGCGAGTATGAAGCTTCCTCCAACTCAAGCTAAAACGGCCTTTGACTGATCAGAACACAGCACAGAATCTCTCTGTATTTCGGATGGTGCCATTCGACAATTCTGATGCATCTGATTCTGACAAATTTTAATTAGCATGAATGAAATGATTAGCAAACTAAAACGTCGCTTACTGTTCAAAATAATCTTAAATCTATTTTCGAAAAAGATTGGTAACAATCGGTAGATTTATTGGCGGGCAACGTTTTGCTTTTGACACAAAAGTTTCATCAGACCAAGTTACTAGGTAACGAGGTTAGTTGAGATTTAAGGCAGGAGGAGAACCAATCAGCTAAGTCAAGCTAGATCTTTTAGGTGTCGGCCAAGAGATTTTGTGTTCTAGGGTGGGTCACAAGGTGTTAAGCTTCCGCTAAAACAGCTTTATCAGCGGCCAATTCATTCCTCACACAAAGGAATGGCCTAACCGCTCAGCGATTAACCGACGTACACCAGCATGCCAGTCGGTTCAGAGGGTTTTTCAACTGACTGAAAATCCGAATCTGATTTTGAACAAGTTTGGTGTCACCGACCTTAATAGATAATTTTGAAAGTCTCCTTTTATTCTTCGGTCCTTACTCCAAAACAAAACAGAGTGATGAGTCCGATCAACATAGGCCTTGGAGCTGAAAGATATTGGTATTAGCCTAATTGGGAACCCTAAAACTTGGTTGTAACTCTAAGGTTGTTGACGAAATGATTAAGATGGGCTTGCATTCAGTCTGAAAGTGAATCCGGTGGGGGCACGCAAACGGGTCAAAGGAAGTGGGTTCAGGAAAAAAGACAAACAGCAAACGATAAACTTACCTGATAATGTGAAAGGTAACAAATGCCTTTGGAAGTCCAAATGAACTGTCCGGATAATACCATAAACGAGAGAGATCTGTATTCATGAGCAATTCCGGGGCCACAGTTGAGAAATCTTTAGGTCTCGGGTAAATGGTGAAGTCAGTTGCTATATACTTATTTGCGGACGGTAACGTCATGTCGAAGTCACACTCCACATTTTGCCAGGCCTTTCGAATATAGAGGGAAAAGGAAAGGTGGAGCACATAACTGTGACCAGCACAAAGAGAAGTCACGAACCACTATTGACTCATCAAGAAATTCGTTGCTAAACCACAACCAGACAATTGAATTCCTTATCCTAATGGCTGTCCGAAAGGTGAGGTCGTAAAAAATAACAAACATACATACATGATTACATTCATGACACTTTTACTGCCTTCTTCAGTTATTACAAAAGCAGTTTCCCCCTGTCCAAAAAGGCAAGGTCATTCAGGACTACTTATCTCGCCGTCTAATGGGGACTACTGTATGTTGGATAGCGCTCAAAAACCACCTTCTTGCTAGTAGGCTGTAGAATCGAATTTCGTCTTTGACAAGCAGAGAGGCCTGTTAGCAAGTTTATCTCGAAAATCAATCTTTGTGTATGTGATTTGTCATTAAAACTTTTGTAAATGGTCATGAAAACAGAAACACCGGTATTGGTCAGTGAGACAGTACAGTAGAGTGCTCGGTAAAATACATCGTAATACTAGCTGAAATCTTGGAACATTTGCGGACCATATTTTATCGACATGTGTTCAGCAACAGGTTAGTAAAGGTAAGGGACACCTATTGAAGTAGTTCGCATGATCTTGAGAGGTTTACTGCGAGACGCGTGCTTGTAAGTACTTTCTGTCTGAGGCAGTTGCTCCAGTGCATTATGACGCCCAGTAATAATTACACAATCGCAGAATACAATTCAACCGTTGGAGTGCGGTTCCCCACAACCTGGTATTTGTATCGCATTTTCTGACAAGTTACTTCTTAATGACACTATCAAGTAAACAAGAACTGCTAAAGGTAGGAAAAAGGCTTGCGGAATGTGGCACGCACTAGTTTGACCCGGTAGATGTGTGCATGACAGTCTGCCCCAAAAAGAATGGAAGACAAACCGTCTAGTCTAGCCGAGTACCCAGCCGGTCGAATCAGTCTACAAGTTTCATGTTGCGCACAACTGGCTTGGAATCTTTGAATGGCCTTCCGTTCAAGTGTAGATTTTCGTTGCAATTCAGGCAAATTATGCCCACATATGGGACGAGTGTTAGTCGTAGAATTTCAAGGGTGGCTCGAAAAATTCAACGTTTTCATGCTATCTTTCGTCGCGCTCTTGAAGTGAGTTCAATAGGAGCATAGAAGTCACTTGTTTCCCGCCATAATTTCAGTCCTACACCTACGTATCCGCATCCTACCAAACGGCCGGAATTAGCTCCTCCTAGTGTAGCTGACGCGGCCGATAATAAGCATTCGCATTTTGTCTTCGAAATTTGAGCTGATTAGCTGTAATTTTCAGGTCAGGCCAAAGATACCCGCGCGTGTTAACATGTGCCTCATCAGGTGATGGTAATACTGGTCTGTTGTGCCATTCGATGTTCTTACCGCGGTAAGAGTTCCTCGAAACGCACACGCAAAAGTTTCGATTTTGCTAAGATTGCTCATGTTTCGCTGTAGTGACAAATTCCATGTGAAACGGGATAACAGGGTGTTGGACCGATCTATCCATCCATTCCTCATCATTCGTTAGCTCAAGACGGCTGATTTGTTAGGAGGCTAGCTTACTGGCCAGAAGGTCCGTGGTTCGAACCCGACTGCTTCTGCCTGGGTTTAGACGACCTGGAAGTATCTTAGCCCTTCCTTCGGTTGACATGGTAGCTAGGAGCCAGAATGATTTTGCAAGTGATGGAGGGATTGGATTTATTCCTGCTTTACAAATCACCCGAGCCTGAGAAAGTCTCATTGCCAGGTTCAGTCCCAGTGTTATCACCGTATTTAAGACAATCCAAGTGAGTGACCGTGAAAGATGGAATCAGTTGTGTCGTTGTATCTGCCGCCATAACGGCGAAAGCCGACACTGATAACTACCGTACAGAAAACCCAGACCGGACCGAACATGAGCCGCGTGTATGAACAAGTGATAGAGCTTGAAATTACATGCATCATGCTACCAAAAAAAGCAACAACCAATAGTGTGTATTCAGCAAGTCATTTGCTGATACCTGGCGTCGGCCAGTTGACAGAAGTCATCTAAGCTAAACAGACACCGTCAGGTCACATGAGAATGAACAGCGTCTACAGATTTCTAGAGAATGGAAGCAGTCCGATGCAACACACACAATTCGTTCACGGCTGGTTTGAGGATTGTGATACCACTCGGTCGTTCAGACCAAAGTGAGGAGTCTTCTTGAGCTGGGCAGCCAGAACCTAAGCCCGAAGAATCTCGCATGCAATTTGTCGAGAAAGCGCAGAGTTAACCCTTGACTGAGGATCAGGTGTCATCCAGCATACTTAGTGCCCTCTCTCCCACAATCACATGTATGGGTGGGCGCCAAAGCAGCAGGAAGCCAAGTTTCTCCAGATACCGATTCAGGTAGAATTCCATACGTCAATCGTATCATCTGCCAAAGAAAGGTCGGTTACAGTCCAGCGAAAAAACTCATTTCTGGAGCAGCAGTAGTCGATCCAAGAACGAAACAAAAAAGAAGGAATTGTGCCTAAGCACTCTCCTAATCTTACGCTTCAGAGACCAAGTCAATAATCAGCACATTTTCTCAGCAGAAATTTCTGATGCGCTAACTCGTGTATCTGTTCGAAGTTGGCAGTTGATTTGAAGGTGCCAAGCTTTGTAAGAGCTTGGTATCACGTCATACCAGACGGAACTAAGGGAGGTTTTGTGAACTCAGGTGCACATTCAGCATGTTATCAGTGTACAGTTGTTGACAAACCAAATCAATAATTCACCATCATTCAAAGACGGCTTCAAGAGATTTCGTAGAGAGAGGGAAGATTGGACACGAGTGCGTTACCTGTATTGTCTTTTCTGGTATGTCCACGCGTAGATAGTGAGTGTTGTACCACCGTTCTATGTCATTGCAGTGGGCCTGATACGATCGGCTGACCAGGAACAGTCTGCAGAAAGAGTAGAAATGAATCGGACTACGCACTATTGGTTGGTTCTACAAGATGGAACCTGATAAGGGTAAATTGCTTATAATGTGCCGTTGAGAAAAAATCATTGGATATGGAAAAATGGTCTACACCGATTAGTTTTTCCATCAGTCAACTGATCCCAATAAATATTCCGTGGTAAATCGACGGATACCGACCATCGGTTGATTCTGGGCGGTTTGTGAAAGCAACGTTAGTGATAAGCAAAACCGCAATCACTGTAGCACCAAAAATAACGTACGCGTAGCTGTGAATACGCGTACGTCTCATTCACTGATGACATCAGCCGACTATGTCGGACGGTCACCGTATCTACCCACGCCATCAGCGTCCGAAAGCAGAGAGTACAACAGCAAACCTAATGTGTAAATTGGTCAGTTCATAGTTGAATGACCAACCGATCTGAGAAAACCTGTGCACCCGTTTAAAAGATCAAATAGACGATTTGATTAAACAATGCGTACTACAGTGCTGCGTGAAATCAAGCCAGGTGTTCGAAACTTCGACCGCCAGCCTGCACTATGAGACCGGACAGGACCCAGCCAGATATTCCAACGGGTACAGACAAACAAATAGATCTCAGTAAGCCCACTCACATGGGGATATTCAAGTGATCCGATTATCCGGTAAAGCTGATGCCCTTCCACTTTTTAAACTTTTCCAGTAAGAAGAAGATACAAAGCCGAGAACTTTTTTTACCTGAGACGTAGAAGAAGCCTAAAGGTATCCGTCATGAAATTTCAATGAACACTGGGATGTTGGGAATATAACAGTTGCGGTTTAAGGGCTGTTTAGAATCACAGTTAAGGAAAACGTACACAGTAATTTGGTTGTAGGTATTTGGGGAATTTGCGAGCACGACTATTGGTTGGTAAACATCGGGGGACAAAAAAACGTGTATTCGAAATCCGTTCGCACTAGGTCTTGTCCACCGTGCAAATTCTCGGCCGCGCCTGAAATCGGGTTCTCGACAGTTTGATATACGATGAAAGCGTGTAACTGCTACTTGGTCTGTGGAGGCTGGATTTTCCTGAACCAACACACGCGAGCAGTGTACAAGAACCTGATGTCCGATGCCTGGGCGGTAGGATCATTCAGTCGAGTGATGTGGATGCGAAGCGCGGAATTCCCGCGGCTATTTACAAGCAATGTGGGTGTGTGGAAGTTTTAGTGTGTGTAGCACTATCTGACTAAACAGATCCAAGATACCAGAGGGTGGTGTAACCAGGACAGTAACTGGGTGGTCGTTTGAGTGGTCATGCGAAGCAACACAAACTGCTCAGGCGGGAGTTGGGTAACCAGCGTGTGCTGAAGGACGATCGGACGACTGGATTTCAAGTTTTGCTAGCGCAAGAATAGGTATGCAATTCTGATGAACTATATTAAGAGCTCGGGTCCAGTATAGCCCTCCTTCGGAATAATCAAGTATAGACGTGAATGTTAGCAAGAAAACAATGAGGATACAGTGTACTTCAGTATGTTGATGAGGTCTGTTCTGTTTTTCTCAGGTGTACGAGTAAAATGGACTAGTCATGTTGGCATGTTCTGTTACTATCTTATGAAGGTGTGACGTATGCATGCTTCCAGGAAGGCTTAACGACCTTCGTCAATAAAATCACGATAAATAATGCATTTGATGTGCGCTTTTGTAAACCCACTCTGGCAGAGGTTGATAGAGAGTAGACTTGAAGGTAAGTACACGACGCTGGAATCCGCTCACCCTGAAATTCACTGGAAATTTATTGCCAGTTTCTAAAATGCGATAGTCCACGAAGCCCGATGAGCTGTCTAACGAAGATTAAAACCCCTGATGAATGAGGTGAGTGCTTTATGGGAGCTAATTATGGGACAGGTAACGTAGGCAATCGTTAGTCATCCCGCCAAGATGGCGTAATTGTTACTCAATTATGAGTTGATAAACAAGAGCCCGATTTGTGTAATAAGAGTCCACATTCGGAACAGTTCCTATAGGTTACAGTACTTTTGGGCAAACTACGATAAAACTACAATAAAGTTACCTTCACCCGTCCACGAAAAGCTTCTTCTCAAAGTTAACATCTGTGCACCGCGAGAAAGGCTTACCGAGAATTGCTAGCATGCAAGCAACCAAGGACGTCCTTTATCAGTTGAGGTTCGAAAGTCCTCAGCAGGTATGGCCCGCGGAGGACATCTTGGGGAGCAAATCGCTGGATAAAAAGGGGAATATTTGTCATTTACGATGTCAATAAACAATACATCCCAACGTAAGGCTCATTGTACGACAGACTATGAGGAAAATAGTGACACCAAATTAGGTAGCACAGCCATCCTTGGATCCACTCATCAGATAGTTCATTGAATATTTGGCATCTAACAACTGCTCCGCATTCAGGCGTGTGACACGAGTTGGAAGATTATTTGTGTAGCCAGTTTATGTGAGCTGAGCTTCAGTAGCATAAGTATTCTACTTCTATGTCCCCAAAGCTCACAGATGATCTGCTTTTTTACGACCAAGGCACACCCCAGACCGGTCAATCCATTCTTGTCTAGTCAATACAGTTTGACGTCTATGTACTCCCACCAGATCCGATCTGTGTGGCAAAATAGTAGCAACGACCTAAGTCCGACAACCGGATATTTTTCAAGTTGTACCACCTACCCGATTTAGGAATTTCGTAGAAGTGCACTTTGTATGTAATTTGCAAACTATCATAGATGAAGAAAACATCTGATACATTAACGAGGGTAATTTACCACAGTTTCAAAAACTACAATATCCTGATTGAATAAGTTGCATCGCCATACACGTAGGGCGACAGTTTCCTACATTTCGTCCAAAAGGCACTCTCTGGTTGTTCCATGCATACTATGGACGGTAATTTTTTCCAACCGTTTCGGAAGTATCCTATGAATGAACACCAGAAAGTCTGGAAGGAACGTCAGGAAGGTCAGATTCCTGAAAGTAACCTCAGAACGCCCGGAACCTAGTGCTCCACCAAAATCTCAAGAGGACAGCCGACAAGCATCCAGGCCAGTCAATCATTCAATTAATTCAGCAAAAGCTGATAAGTGTTCATGCACTCAACCGAATATGATCAGCGTTCAGGTACTTCATTGAGGCAAGTCGATGTTGACGGGTGTTCACCAGCGCCTATCAGACAGCCTGGATCAATGCCAGAAAGTCCTCTTTGAATGGCGTGGGGCCGTTGTAACTTTTGCTCTCGCACTCGCACGAACCGATGCTCTCGCACTCGCTTGTTCGGAATATAGCTGTTGTGTTCCCTTCTGTGAGTCTTTTTTTCAAGCACTGAACACTGGAGCGGGTCAGCTGCAGACACCACAGATTGGCGAATCAGCAGATATAACAAAATAAAACAGAGCTTCTGGTTACGGTAGGATGCATACCCAATGGCCAATAGGCTGATATGAATAAATCTCACCACAGATGAATCAGCAGATATAACAAAATAAAACAGAGCTTCTGGTTACGGTAGGATGCATACCCAATGGCCAATAGGCTGATATGAATAAATCTGCTTAGGACGCGATTCATGCGCAATCATCACCCTGCACTTCTTGAATCCGCGTTTATTAATGAATAATTTTCCTGGTCTCATCAGTAACTAGGTCATTTTGACCAACCAAGGCTGAAAAACTACTTGTTTAAAGGCTTAAATGACTGGCTTGTCGACTGTGGAAAAGATTTTTTGTCTAAAGGCTATCAAATATTCTTAACACATAGACACACCAAGGCTTTGAATTTATCGACAATTAAACACCCTATAAGCGAATCACTTTAATTAGCATGGAGAGGTATGGATAATTAAAAACGTCCTAAACCGTCACCGACAGACCAGCTGACAACATCGCAGCAACACGAATGTAAGATATGGGCAGAAAGCACCGTGAATTTCCTGATGTGGGGAGTGATTTCAAACGTCACAAAAATTGTGCAGCTGGTCAGTTCAGTGAATTTACCTACCACACCGATCAGTTCAGTCGCAAGCATGAAGGCTTTGGAATGGAACTTGAAGATATGAAGCGCATGCGAAGCGGTGCGACTGTATGTGTCGGATTACTAGATCTGATTTGCACCTCTGCTTCAGATTACTCAATATATATGGTTGGAATGCTCCATGCATTCCCTGTGGGACCAGAAGCCTGTTCACCATTTTCAGGTGGGAACAGCTAAACGAGTAGCGTGTGTAAGACAGACTTCGGCCAAAAATCGATTGTGGTTAGACCATTTATCGTCTTACAAGGGAGATTCTGTATCAGAACTATTATAAATCAAAGTGACACAGTCAAAGTTCACTTGTTATTCATCTTCAATCACAGCGGTTCGTTCGCACTGATGAACATTTATGGATTTTTGCGTGATATATAAAAAATAAAACGACGCAAAATAAGGATACATTTAGGTGACAATTCACCGAATTGGTTTTATCAGTTTTATGATTTATTACCGGCTGATGGATGTGAATAAAAACTGTATACAAATAGCCACCAAACTAGTCTACTTTTCAGCCTTCCAAACTACCTACATGAAGATTTGTAGCCAGTTGAACGACGTATTCGTACGGGGGTTCTTTGTCCTTGAACCGGAAATGCAGGTTGTTTAAGGCCTGTGAAAAAAATGAGAAAAGCTTGATGGAAGAACCATACGGATAAGGACGAGTCCATGGAACCTGTTCGCCTTAGAAGCAAACAACTATGATAAGCCTAGTAAGATGGTCATAAGTACAGTGGAGCTAGAATCAGTAGGCAAACAAGCACTGGGAAGCTTGCACATCCACTCCCAGCATATCGACCAGTGGCATGTATAACTTCTTCATGTGAACATACTTGATGTGCGTGAAGTGCACAACTCAGTTCTGTGAGTTGAACTTTCTTGGTTGCGTCTTGTATGTTATCAACTCTGGTTGCTTTTACGTTTGGGGTTTATCTTGGCTAGTCACCACACTCCAGTTTAGTGAATACACAAACAACCGTTTCCGCAATCAAAGCTGTAATTCTACCGTCCGCTCTTTGGGCCAAACTTTATTTTCATAAATGCTCACTCCTAACACTAGACTACAACGATTTCTGGAATTAGCTTTAAAAGTCTTAATTTTTCTATACAGTATTTCTTACTTGAGGTAAACCGTTTACAAGCAGCGAGAAAATAAACAACGTATGTAAAAAATGCTGACCAACGTACAAGAACTGAAGGCGATGATTAGTTCCGACTGCTTTAGTGTATATATTCGGAAAACGCAGCCCAGCAACTGTCATACCTAATTTAATCAACGCTTCTGTGAAAACATCCAATGTTATAGCTAAAATTTGGTGAGAGTTTGTTCTGCGCTTCAGTAGAATTGGGGCCAAAATCCCCGGCAGAAATGTACATTTTTGTCTCTGATGTAGAGAATCATTTAAGGTCCCGAATAAGTGCATCAACATTAATTTGTGTGCGTTCAATGTATTATCAAATAATCAAATCAACAACATGATAACGAAAGAATTCTGTTGGTTGTTACATTGTAAAGCAAAAAAATTCAGCCACTTCTAGTGTGTTTTAACTATGAGACAATAATATAGTTACAAAAAGCAAATTCCACGATGGCATTGATGCTTCACTATCCCACAACAAAACTAGTACTCGGTTGGGCTTAAAAGGATTATACATTAGAGCGAAATTTTTTCAACGTATTTCGTCTAGTGGAAACATCCAACATCGAAGCAAGGACGATGCTTGGTGAACACCTATTTGAAGTAGGACAACCAAACATCGATTACGGGTGAACGCATAAAGACTGAAGATTGTAGAGGTTTCCTAGTTGTGGCGCAACACAACCACTAAGTTCCTACACTCATCCTCCCATTCGTTTTCCGTAAAAATGGTTTCAAGTGAACTCAGAATTGTACGATGGTGAAACGCCGGTGTTCGTTGTCGACGTGTTGTGGAGGAGGGTGATAACCGTATTCGGTCGGGAATCCTCATACGGAAGACTCAAACCGAAGAAATACTGTGATGAATAGCGGATTCATGAAATGGTCACTTAGTCATTGTACTGTTCACTCAGTTGGACAACTTAATTGAGAAGACATCATCAGTGCATCGTAGCACATTCCTTAGTAAGAATATACCAAGGAGTACTTACTTGGTTTTCGAGGAAAATCCACTCTTGAGGTTCCTGACTGCGGAGCATTTTTAGATACTGATACACTTTTGTGACAATGTCATCAGCATGACCTAGACAGCAGCAAGGCACAAGACATTGCATTAAAAAGAAGTGTAAAATGGACCTGTGAACAAATTCACGTCGTAAACAAAGCCAGGTAAACCAAATATAGCTCCGTGAAAGTAACAGAGTTTGCCGAAATCAAACAAACCACCGACGTACCCAAGCCATTCTCAGTAAGATCCATGCTAAGGATGATCGAAGCAAATCCTTTTCCAGGGCGACTTACGCCGCAGGATAATCGGTTTACCCAGCCTAACTTTTTCAGCATACTCAAAAGGCTTCCATGACCTTCATGACCAAGCAAGTGAGTGACGTACGCAGTTGGCTAAGAGGAAAATGTAAAATTTTTGGTAGTAATTCTAACTGAAAAATGACTTTCTGGCTCATTATATTACTACACCGCCTTCAAGTGTACACTTCAATGGTAAACAATTAGGCTTTACAAATGGTTTCAGTAGCAATGTTCCGAAAGTATATACAGGGGGCAAGCGTTTCACTTTGACTTTTTCAGCAACAAACTGGTGAAACCGGGTTCTCAGATTTGAGAAAGTTTGATCCCAAAGGGTTCAACGATAAGCAAATATATATGTAATCCTTAGTTACCTCATGCTGTTGTCCGTGAAGCAGAGGAACAACCAACCTATAGGGGTCATACACGATACAACAACCTAGCTCCTTGGGTTCAGTCGCTAATCTGTCATGCAGTTACATGAAAACTATATGTATCAAAGAAAGCGCCCCAAAAAAAACCAGCAACCGCATTTGCACAATGTACCAACCTTCCATGCCAGTTTATGCTCTCTTAAAGTTCATTCTTACTATTAGGGTCCGTGGTCCACTGTGATGTCCCAGTTTCACATGCATCTCAGCTATCTGCTCACTTCCTGTTACTGAAAACTGCCAAACAAGGTCCAGCTTACTCAGTGGACGATCACCCCTGGGTCTCTGGTAATCAGTTCAGTATTCCGTGATACAGCAAATCAATACACTGGGGCGTTCTATGGTGTGCGCTGTTTCAGTATTGGATGGGAAACGAAAATTAGAGAAAGAAACGGACTGCATCGAGTGGAACCAAATTTTCAAGTGTAAGATAGCACTCTTGTGCCAATTCTAATGTTTATTCATCTAATGAATGTACTTTAAAGATGAAGACTACTTCCTAACAAAGTGCATTTCTCCTTCCAAATACCCAGTCTCTTGATCCCTGCGAATAAGCAATAGATTAGGGTTTGATAAACATGATCTTCGTTGAAAATATACAGGTCATAGCTGTGCTTGACCAATATCCTTGCGACAAAACACCAAGCTACATCACGAATCAACTTTATCATCCTCGCGATCTGAATATTAATACCTCGTTGCAAGACAAGATCTTAGTCGGATGACGGATAAAAAATGTTTCGTGTATTGTTCCGTCTTTCACTTAGAAACCATTTTCTAGCTAGTCGAAGCAATCATCCCACGGTGACTATTCAGCATGTTTCCAGTCTGTTTGAATCGCGGGACACCAATGAGCACTAGTATGTCAGCAAAACAGTATAAATATGGGGTTTGTAGTTATCGCAAATGTATGTACACATTTCGACCACCGATTTCCGATAAATCTGTTCACTGGCACTCGGAGTACTCCACCGGTGATCGGTTTCTAGCAAAGTTGCAGAAGTCCATTACGTTTATCCCACTCCAGGAACTTGTGAAGAGGCCATCAAGTTGGAGTAAATGACTAAACAAATACTGGTTACTTGGGAACTTAAGCCAAGGCGCAAAAGAAGTGAGGTCGGAGTCAACTGACACACGCTGCCTATCTTGAGAGTATTTCCGGGACTTCAACCACTTTTAGACGAACGGCGTGCAAATCATTTGGTTACGAGGTCACGCCCAAAATGAAAGTCTCAAAACTCTGCTGGGTTCCAACTTCAAAAGCTAGGGTCAGTAAAATCTGTATAAAACACCAACTAATGCATACTGTTTTCTAAAAATCTAGAGGCATACAAGTTTGCTGTAACCGGAAATGAAAAAGCCAAATATCCAACAGCCCCTCAATCACAAACCATAAGCGGAAAGAAACTTATCGGAATATTTCAAAGACTCACCCGAGATGCATACATATCTGTGTAATCCTCGATAGGCCACATAAGGTGGAGTTGATTCAGCTCCGTGAGTGGAGTCATGTAAATTTTTTTCTGGAACACAAGACATTGTAAGGAAAATGTTGTGTGTTCCATGAACTTGTTTCGCATGATTTTCACTGTATAGCTTTCAAACTGATGTGCAACTTTACAACTGCTGTTGAAAGGATGAGGACTACTCCCTCTAGCAGTGGTAAGGGCACTGAATACCCATTTACTGCTTGTAGTGTTGCCAACAATGATGATGCCTCGTACATCGCGAAGCCATACGGGAGCACCGAAGGGCTCTCGAACGACCCACAGGTTCATTACACGAGCGAGTTCTTTCAAGTATAACCCAGCAGATACGAGTGCAAGTACGAAGCGTCGGACAAGAGGATTTTGGTGCTGGTTTAGAAAAAAAGATTGCACAACCTGCTAAACTCACAACGTGGCTGTACCAAGCCGTGATCGGATTGTGGTTCACATCTGGTACATCACAGCACATCCAGACTAGTTCGCGGGAGTTTGGCAAGTACTGTATATATAAAGTGTTTGTAGCTCCTTCAGTCACACAAGAAGTGCCACTGAGCATAATACTCGGGACATGAACGAACATTTAATAAAAACAAACCATCTGCAGTAAGTTTCATTGCTGACTGCGAGAGCTAGGCAAAAGCCTAGACATACTTATTGTAGAACACGGTGGATTGTCGGAGCAATCAATTCTCACGGCTCTACTCGACGAAGTAGTTGCGTCTTAATAGGAGTAGCTTGATCGTCCGCGAGAAACTGCTGTATGGATACGGCCAACGTCACACATTTTGGTTTTGTTTTAGCAAATCATTCATGATACTATAAGTTAGGTTAATCATACAGCTGTAATTTTCCATTTGGAACAACCGTAAAAACTCACAAATTCGACTGCCTTCCCAGATTGTGCTACGTAAATGTACTAAACTGAGCAAACCTTTTCTTTCATCACGGTTATGGGATTTAGCTAGCTATGTTCTTCGAACCCCTGTCTTATCATGTAAGGATATTGGCTGGTCAAAGCACTCGAAATCCGGTAAATTCTCCACTGGTTTTGATTGTTTTCCTGAAGACCCAAAAAACGAATTTTTATTGCGTTTAACCAGGCTGGCACTAACGAACGACCTGCTTTAAAAGTACAGTAACTTCAAGCCTCAAAAACCGTACGTTTTCACGACGAAAAACATTCGAGCGGCATAAATACAGAGGTCTGGAAAGAACAGGAACACAATCAAAATAAAAAATTCATGCTAAGGTATTGCACATTCTAAGTTGCGTCATAAGATCATGGTCGGACACATGTCTATCGCTGTGTACATTTTTTGACACCACACGTTACTTTACTTANGATCATGGTCGGACACATGTCTATCGCTGTGTACATTTTTTGACACCACACGGATCGAGAAAACCACCGTTACTTAGCCTTCGTCCCGCTGATGAACGACACAAGTCCACAGTATCTTCATGCAGAATAACGTCCGTCAGTTTCCTTTCGTCTCATAAATAGACTCGAAAAGTGTATGACTGAGTGTCGTTAACTTGTATACTCGTTGCCAAGTAAGCCAAAGTATGGACACATTAGCATCATGATTGATGGAATAGAGAAGAGATTCGTCTTTCTGATAAGCTAACTTTGAAGGAAAAAGCGCACTAAGTTGCATTGCGAGTTCCTTACTTTCAAAACAACTTCAACCCATGGGGAGTCCTCCCACTCAGGGACATCGACATCGAAGTTCGGGATTAGCGAGAATGTGTCGCGAACCATGGCTTCTAGTTTCTCAACAGGTTCTAAAAAGAGAGGAAGTTAGTTAGTCATAACCAAAAATGGGTACGTACGCAGAAAAATCGCCATTATTTATCCAAAGTAATACCGGCTTGTAGATAAGTAGATAAATTGCTTGCACTGTCCCGAAACACTCAAAGCTGGACGTGAGGCCAGAAAGTGATCGACGATAAACCCACCAGTTCTGAAGATGAATCTCGGGAATTCTGGAAGGAGTAATATGTGAAGAATCACACTGACTTCTGAAAGGTACGCTGCCAATAGTGGTACGGGGTTTTTCCCTAGTTATTAGAAACCGAAGCTTTTGGTGAGTCTTACGGTTCTGAAAACAATCGGCACCAAGTCAAATGAATGGCCGGAGGGTTTGCAAATCAGAATATAATCCGTTTAAGTAGTCCCCATCTCCAGCAGACCTTTCTCTAGAAACTAAACACACACTTTATACTGGGATTTGGACGGAGCAAATCGATGAACATTGCGCATGGGACGCTTGCAAGGATCGTCAGGACTGCAGGGTGGATCCATCGGGTGTTGATCCAGGTAAGCGCACTAGAACAGCATACCAGAAAGGGCTTCTGGCCAAATTATCACCTACATGATTTGAAGGTCATTAAATCAAGTAAGCAACTTCAGATTTTAGTATGAAGACCCATAACTTCTCAAGGATACTGCTCTTAAGTGTCTTATCGTCCGCGAAGGAAAAATATCATTTTCGATGCATTTTCTTGGGTGTTGTATACATTACTGGTGGTTAAGAAACAAAAAATACTGAAACAAGGGTGATCAGCATGGCACCATATTGCATGCGACTTGAGACCTAACCTTGCCGTCCCGGGAATTTATGTCCAATACAATGATCTTTACATAAAAGTGACGGGATATTCAGTCATCCATGAGTGGAAAGGCATATTAGATAGTGGCTAACGAGAACCACTGTCACAGACTCTACGGCAGCAGACTGTCCGAAGTGAACTCTGTTGAAAGAGCGCTGCATCATCAAACAAACTGAGGGGACTGACGTAGGATATCGTTACAACCAGCAAGTGCCGTTCGAAGAGACTATTGTCACCATGAGCCTTGCAACTAATGTTTTTGTCTGTTGAGTTGGGTATTGGGTTGTTAGTATATACCATGACACTGAATCACCGGATGTAGAAAAAGACTCCAACAAACTTCCACCGGATAACTTACCCGATCCAAGAACGACCAGAGCCATCAAATTGGCCGAATACCATTTCCTATAAAACTTTAGCAACTGCTCCTGTAGGTTCATCCCACGAGCACATGCGGATTGAAAAAGAGAAAACCGGTTGCCTGACATGAAGCGGGAATAGTCATGTCCTGGTAGTGACAAATAGCGTTCTAGCTGATACAACCGGCGTGTGTCGTTGCAAGAGTTCTTTTCATGTTCCACCTGAATGGCGTTGATCTAAAGGATTGTGAAAGCGGATTAGGGACTAGCAGTTTGTGACGAAATTTCAAAAGGGTGATGGACAGTCCAGGGAGATTGGGATGAATCCACACCATTTTAATCTTACTAGCTAGTCCTCCGTGCTCTCAACACCAGAACTGATGAAAACCAATAGGGGTGGTTAGGCTGCTTACTGATTTACTGGCCATGACTTAATCCAGATACTATCCTTCAGAGCTATAAGCAGCGTGGGGGATACTGTCTTCCTAGCAAGTCAAAGGTAGGGCTGAACCACAGAATATCAAGTATCGTCATCATCAGATATAAAAACCGCCTACTTGCTGTGCAGTGGTCATAGTTGACAGTTTCGATAGTTTGCAGATAATTTGCAGAGGTTGAGCAGATAGCTATCCATTACAGATGGTAGCTGATATGACTGTTGCATAGATACAGGGATGCCAGTGGAACTTTTATTGGGAAATCAGGAAGGGAACTATGCATTGAAGGTAACAGCTTGAATGTACGAGCGCCAGTGAAAGCGCGACTAGGCCATATCTGACAACGTCTCTCTAACCATGCAAAAATTCCTTTCATCAGAAAGCTTCTGACTACACTTTCACACTCTAGGACTCTATTGAGAACATGATGGCAGTAACTTCTTCCTATTCGTCCCAATTCGACTAGTCCCTAAAGGATATCCTTCGTCATAAGCGTGAGGCCATGCAAAAAAGGCTGGATTCTATGTGTATTCAGTGCCAGGCTTTGGTGATGTTCCAGCTGATACGAAAGCTCGTACTAACTTACCATACTGATCTGTAGCTATTTACTCCAAACCCCTCTGTTCACCATTGTCACTGGCATCAGTCACTTCACCATCGTCGTTTCCTCGCTGACGTCAGCCTCACTATCGCTATCACTGACAACGACACCATCGTCGAAAATCAATCGCCGAAACAGTCAACCAAAACTAGGATGACAGACTGAAAATGGTGCTCATATTGCTGCTATATGTCGTCTCCTGCTTATATCTGAACACACTTTCAAGTTTTAAATTGAAGATAAAATTTTCTTCGACATCTAATCTTGTGACGAACCACTCAACTTTGATTGCAGAGCTACGAATAGCATCTGCCAAGGTACAAGGTGTGCCGCTTAGAACTATCTCTTTCATGAATAATGGGTTGTATTTCGAATGCTGAATGACAAAATCAGACGAAGCTGAGGACCAAAAATCAAACAATTGAGATGAGAATAAAACAAGGAATTTTAAAGAACAGCAGACAGGTTTCTAGAGCACGCAAAAGCTATCTAGTACGCACCTCAACCAGCTGGTTTCCGTAAAGAATAATGGGCTGTTTTAGAAATATGTCAAGCACTAAAGAAGGAATACTTTGGAGTGCAAAGATATAGCGGATTCCTTCAAAAATTGACGGGATGATGAGAGAACCATTCAGCCACCAGAAAGACCTCGACCGATTCTCTTTAACTGACCCCCTTCTCTACAAGAAACTACTTAGACTAGGTCGCATAAGACCACTGTATACAGTCTTTTAGGCGGGAGGTAAACAGTGCCCAATACTACTCCGAATAGCTCTTGTATATTACATAAAAATAATACACAGTATAACAAACATATGTACCTCACGTTCTGTTGCCGATTCCGTAAACAGTGGTCTGATGAAAAAATTAGCGAACATATCTAGTGCTTTGGTAAGGTGATTTTCCTTTATTTCGAAGGAAAAGGAAGTTTCGTCAGATTTGGTGCAGGCACTGCATTGTCCTCCGTGTTCGGAAACATACTTTGTGTACGTGTGTTCTTGTGGATACTTCTCTGATCCCAAAAATATCATATGCTCACAAAAATGAGCAAGTCCTGGCAACTGTGGCGGGTCGCAAAGTGAGCCTAAACTTCGAATTCGTATTAAGATGAACGTGTGACCTACCTACATTCAAAGATAGACAAGCTGCCGCTTTCTCTGTTTCGGGATCGTTGATAAGAAGCACACGAAGACCATTTTTTAAGCTTGTGTATTTGTAGTTTCGATCGTCATATGGTGACTTGGTGACATTGTTTCCACGCTGTGCAGAGGTCGCTTGTTTGATGGAGCTTGGCTGATCGGTCATTTGTGAATGTAGGGGTGCAACAACCTGTAATATAACAAAACAACGGACTGAAGTAAAAATACGATGGTGGCATTTTTTCTCACATTGAGCGATGACAAATGCACTTAGCAGTCAGTCCAACTGGACGGTGCAATGAGTTTGTATATCCAACACCAAAGCAAATCAACCAGCTGTGCAACCTCTTCGCTACTGTTATGTAGCTTGCTTCACCTTACCTTGCACAAACTGCCTTCCGTGTGGGGATGGATCGGATCCTATATCGTCCGGGGATTCAGCCACCTACGGTCCACAATTCACAGCAAAATCTGATCCACGGTCGATGTCTGTGAGCGACATGAAAAGGTCGGCCTTAAAAATCGAAGACTCCGATTGCCCAAAGATTGACCGTGACCGCTGATACATTATTAAATGCGGTCAAAATACTTCGAAAACAACAGTTCTGGTGCTGATAAAGAGAAGTTGCTGTGCGCAGTCGCATTAGGAGTGAAGCAGCAATGCATTACTCTCTGCGTCATTAGGTCTGTCCAGCTCTGGGAAGCCAAATGGGCTTGGCCATTGAGTTATTGGCTCTTGGAAGGGTCTGTTAAGATGATTCTAACAACCACTGATTCGCAGTTGGGACTTTTGAGTCAGGTTAGTGACAGAGCCCCAAAACAGAACCCTACACCCCTTACTGCCTCGTGGGTCAGGCTTTCAAGTCAAAGGGTTAAGATGGAGTATCTCAACCACCCCCTTTCTTCGGCTATGGCAACAAGGAAGTAACATTCGCCGTTGCAGCTCTTCGCCCGCCAGCCCTTCGTCTCTCCACTCATCGAATGATGGAGTGCGCGTGAGCCATCTGTCAGTACCCTAGCCATTGTTGCCGGTATGAACTGTCGACCACAAAAACAAATCAAAATAATGACTTACTACCCTCAAGAGATCTGACGCACGTTGCAGCTTTCAATGTCCGTGATCTATGTCAAATTGGGCAACCAGCATCCATTGCTGAAACCTTACCTCCCTTCTCTGTGAATGTACGTTGTACCTCCAAAACACGCCACGATTGTGCACTTCAAGCCGCTCAGGACTAGTCCAGACGTTCCACACTTCACTCTTTAAGTAGCTAGTGATCCTGACACAATGGTTTGTGGTGTCGACGATGTAAGAGTTGCGCTCAACTACGAGGCTGAAAGCGATTTACTGTGTTAGATCCCAGTAAACAGTCGTTTCTACGCTGTGCGGTAGTCCAGATCAATTAAGATCAACGCAGGTAGATGTGGTAAACGGTGTTTATTTGTCGTACAAGCATACGCTCCGACAGATGCAGTACTGGTGTTGAGAAGAACGGGTTTTGAGCGATATCTGTTGCAAATACTCTGTCTGCAATAAAGACTGATATATTAAGCCTGTTGGGTGATGTGAGTATCCAGGTTCGACGACTAAGCCCGGAGGAAGTACAATCTAATGGTAGATTTGGAGTCGGTGATCAGCCCACGGACAATGTGAAGCAACTTCTTCAGTTGTTTGCTGATATTAGTCTTTTCCTGGCCTGTACGAACTTCCAGAACGAACACTCACACTGAGTCACTTGAAGGTCGGCAACTGCAAGAGAGTCGTGGACCCAGATGAACCATGTGGCTATCGGTTGCCGAGCTAGATCCTCTATTAAAGATGGCCGTCTCTTCTGGAGCGCGCACCGTGACTCTGACCATGACATAGCGCGGTACCGGTTGGCATTTCGGTCAGCATTACGCGTACCAAAGCGAAGGAACCACACTTTTCGACTTTAAAAAGATTTAGTAGCTTAAATCTATTGAGCTGATCGGGATGAAAAGTTACTGGAACCGCACAGTCACGAGGATGACGATGATTGCCTGGAGGATGAATGGGGGCGAGTTCAACAAGCTATACTGTCATCCCTTAGAATGTTATCAGTGTTTGACTTTCGGTGCACGAGCGCCACTGACTGCGCGGTTGGGCGCGTGGCTACCCAGGTCTAGAACTAAATGTACATGCCATCGCCTCAAATGTTTGGCTGCATCCCTCATGTTCTCCTACTATCATGTGATCGAAACTGGGGCAGCCATAACAAATGTACGGCAGTTACGCGGTTCTTACAACAATGATGAAGATGATGACTGTAGCTCTGACAACTGCTTGGCTCTGACAGTGTTTCGCAACCATACAACAGAACGGCTCTCACCGTAGCCTGGTGTACGAGACCCCTGAGAGAGAGAATATACTTGTGCGGAGCCACTTTTTGTAGGAAAGCTTTTGGACAGATCGCCGTACATTCACACAAAGTATGCGAAATAGGGACCAGATTACATCCAAAAACTCCCAGGTTGAGCAAATGTGCTTATGGAAACTAAGCAATCAACAGGATCCAATACACAATTGGAGTCAAGGATTGTTTGCATCCGAGATAGTGGAAAAATGTGGTCCATATAGCATCTACCCGGTCGAAATCTCGGTTGGTGCTCGAGGTATATTGGGTTGTTAGTGGGGTAGTACGTACAGGAGCTTCAGGCTGAGCGTGATGCACAAAAAACAGCAAAACCAGTACTATTGCTTGGAACTACAGAGAAAACACTCTAATAATAGTGGGGCTAGGTTGGGGGAGGAATGCATGAGAGCATAAGAAAGAGGCGCTAGCAGCAGCATCCTTGCGCTTTTTTGCTGTTTTATGCAGCACGTAAAGCAACCAGGCAACCAGTTGTGACGTCTGTGGTTGTGCATCGGCTAGGATAATGTAAAGACTATTAGATCTGAACAGAAAGAAAGGTTTTAGTCCTGATCCGAAACCTGCGGTTCAAAATCCTGACCGCGAGGTAACGAATGGGTGCCGGCATACTGTTCTAGCAACACGGGTTTTATTAATGAACAAGTTCACGTGTCTGTTTAAGTTTCAACCTGGAGGATCCAGAGACTGTTCTTCAGACCTATATTTACCAACCAACCTGATAGAAGAAACTCTGTGGGTGTCAAATGGAGTCCCTCAGTATAGCTCAGTGGGTCATTGAGGCAATTAAACCATCATAAAGCTACTAGGTCATTTTATTTACAGAGGTTCGGGGAAGATCGCCCTCCCTCCAAACATCAGCTGATCACACTAAATAGACTGGACTGGTTAGGCCACGTACTTTGTATGGCAAAGGACTGATCGATGTGCGAGGTTATCTTCGTCTTACCTTGTATCGGATGGAGACGACAGTCAACACATGAGTTGATAGCAAAGCATGAAAGCTCTTACTAATCAACTCAGCCGTATTGGAAAGTGGCGCTTTCCCTAACTATGACCGCGAAATAAGACGAACCAACCGTTATTGATCCTGACGCATATGGCTGTCACATAGCCAACGGGGTTCTTGATACAAGACTATTGCTGACCGATGTCAATAGCGTTAGTGATGCCCGTTTCCATACAGATTGTCTCACTGGGTTCTGGATGTGTAGGCTTCTCGGATGTTTGTGCTAGGTTAGCACTAGGTCCATCTCCCAGTCCCATTTATTCTTCTTCCCACTATAGAGCCTCATTCAAATAAGTTGACATGGCTGTATGGCAGTGAAGCACCAGTGAGCTTCGGCGGTGTTGCTGACAATGATGATTGCAACTTCTAGTTCTTCATGATATTGACCACTGATTTATTTTTTTTCGGAGAAAGGTACTTCGACCGCGTTACTCTTCTGTGTCCGTTTACAAATGCGCCCAAGGGTCACACAAATGGCTAAATCAACCCTTCACTCAAGGCACGGTGTGCTATTGAAGATGTCAAGAATATACTGCTCCAGCAAAAACGCCCGGTCACTTTGATGCCAGTGCCCAGTTGAGTTTTGCCGTAGAATTTTGCAATGGTCATTGGAGCTGCAACCTGTGGTCTCAAAATGTCTGCGGACCTCTTATTTTTTCTACACATATTCTGTCCAAGGAAACGCGTCGCAACACATTCGGATGTAAACTGTTAGTTACTGACGACAGTGAAATGTGTTTTGCATTGGTCTATCAAACGTCTTCCGTGCATGCCTCTGCGAAGCACTCGTAGCGTGTTCTACACATAAACTCTGCTTTTCTTGACGGCAGCAATTTGCATGCTAAAAAACATTAACCACCTACTAATCTCCAAAACGGAATCAGTCAAGCCAGTTTCACCACACACCATATTTCCAAGATGCAGTCCGTCAGGTGGTTTATCAGCTACAAACCATTTAGAAAGGGTGAGTTGGTTCTAGCGGACCGTAAAATGGTATAGCAGTAGATACAGCCAGGCGTTAGATGCGACGGCACGGAAAATCAGTTTGCAACACTAATTAGCCGGACAATGAAGTCAATAGCTTTGTTGCAAGAGCGCCACTGACTGCGCGGCAGGGGGGTTTCTAACATGCGATTAACAACTGGTGAGTTGAATTCCGGGGTATCCATCTAGGGAGGCGGCAGTTATTGACCCGACTCATCATACTTGTTACTGTTCTCATTTTCCTTGTCGGTCGCTTCCACTCGGCACAGGAAGGAGAAAACTGGCGGCCACAAGTTATTATTTCTCCATACTATGAATATTTCTACTTAACATGCTTGTCTACAGCTGCAGAGCGCTGATGTTGCTACAGCCCCTGGACATTTGCTGAAGTAATCAACTATAACCGCAATGAGGCAGTTCACAAAAATCGGTAGTATGATGTTTAGTCCTACTACTTTGCTAAAATAGTCTGCCTTCACAGGTCATATGCGTTTGACATAATGGTATTGATTTTTCAAACATATCAAAATATTCTGTGTGATCTGTTCGTATAGCGAACGGTGGGCTCAGTAGCGTCGAAAGTACATGAAAAACTAACAACGCAAACATCTCTTTTCGGTTGTTCAGTAGTCAACTTCACCCTGTGATTGGACAGGTTAGATAACCAGGTCATTTGCATCAGTGTCTAAGACAAACGGCGGGGTAACTGATGAAACGTCTGAAAATTCTGGGATGGTTGCTTAGCAGAGGGCTTTTCGAAACCTCGTTAATGTGTTTCACTCTGTTAAATCGGTAATGCCCCAGCTC